GGGGGGCTGCCCCCGCCCCGGTGGGGGGGGGGGGGGGGGGCAGTGGGCAGCAGACAGGCCTGCCGTCCAGCGAGTGAGATGCATTTCGTTCCAAAAACATGTGGGAGGGGGAGTAGACCAAAATTCAAGGATACACGGGTGGGATGGAGTGTGAGTTGCGAGGCCCAGCCGGTACCAGAGCAGGCGAGGCCGCGGACAAAAACGGGGGGCGGGCCTGCCTGTGAACAGCAGGCCGCCAGGGAAAGGCAAGGGAGGAGGGGGCGCCGTGGTCCACCGAAGGAGGGGAGAGGGGCGGCGACCCGCGGACGACCAGGCCGCACACTTTTCAATGCGGCGCGGGTCGTCCAGCGCACTTGCAAGGCCCCGGCGCCTAGTCACTCGCGGCCAGGCGCTCGTCCTCGGCAGCCACGACCTCGAATCCCTCGATGGGCTGGCGGCAGAAGGGGCAGGCCGGCACCAGGTGCTCGCGCGCGGAGCACAGCTGGCGGGCGCAGCCGAAGCACAACTCGTGGCCGCAGCCGGCCACGGCCACAGACACGCCAGCGTCCATGCAGATCTGGCAGCCCTCGACGGCGCCGTCGGGCGCAACCCGTACCCGCCTTGGGCGGCGGGCGGCGGCGGCGCAGACTCCTGGGTCGGCCAGCACGCCGCCATCCAGGCAGAAATCGGCCCCGCGCTCTCCGAGCCCCGCACCCAGGAGGCTGTCCAACAGCGTGTCAACCTGGCGCTCGCACGCCGGCTCACTCGACTCCGCACGACCTGCTGTGGAGTGGGGGGGGCAGGGAGAAGCTGTCAGCGCGGCAAGCAGGAAAGGTTAGGTGCCCACAGAAGCTGCAGTCAGAATCACACTCAACACGGCGATGCAGATCTTGCTCCTTTGACTGATCCCACCAATCACTCACCGCTCTGGCGCATCAGCTCCTGCAGCTGCTGCACGGTCTGGCTCAGGATGGCCTCCGTCTCGGCATCAGCCTCGAAATCTGCCAGGCTACCACAGCCATGCGGTCCATGCGCGAGTCCCTTGTCCTTGGGCGCAGCAGCTGTCTGGGCCTCCGCAGCAAGGCGAGACGAGGGTCCTACGACATCGTGGCAGTGGGACGGGGTGAGGAATGCTGCAAGAGAGAGAAGAGCCAACAGCAATCCAGCAAATGTAGCCTCCACCAACAAGCACATGGTACAAACCGAGGTCACGCCCAAACGCGGCTCTGCCCCAGGCCGACTGTTGATCGGGAAGCACCAAAGCAACCCCCCTTTCAACACACCCCACACACCAGCCTGGCCCGACATCCCATCCACGCAACTCACCAAGGCCATACCGCTCCGCGCGGCGCTCCATCTCATCAATGGCCTGGAGGAGGCGTGCCTTCCAGGCAGCCACCCCGGGCCGCGAGATCAGGCCAATGCTCGCGAGTCGGGAGGGCGCGGGTGCCTCCCTCTCTCCCTCCTCAGCGGCCGCCAGGAGCTGCCGGCTGCGGTACTCGATGGCCGCATCGAGCACGGCAGCCAGCATGCCCGTGGCGGTGGTCTTCACCAGGAGCATGGCCAGCGCGCGCAGGGAAGCCCTCTGCCGCCGGTTCTCCAGCTCTTTGCAGGGGCGGGTGACCCATCGTTGGAGGCCCTCCAGCACCAGCTGCTGGCCCGTGTACAGTGTCACGGAGAAGAAGGGATGCATGCCGGGTCGAAGGCCCGGACGCGGAGGGCAGGGCCAAGCAGCTGTGGACGGGCGGGGAGGGGCGCCTCCCGTGAGTAAATGTCCTAAAAGGCGGAGCTGACGTTCAAGCATGCGTAATCGGGCCGACCGGGGAAGCCCGGGCGAGCAAACCACCGCACCACCACGAACTCTCAAGCCAGTCCAGTGCGGCCCCAGCGGAAACGGCAGGCGCTTTCAACGCACTGAAAACGAAGTAATTACATGTCCGCGGCCTGAGGTAGGCCACAGAGGCTAGCCCGCCGGGTCGGGGAGGACCTTCCCGGGCATTCACACAACACCCAAAACAGCCCCTCTTGACGACCGTGCCGCCTCACCTTGAATTTATAGCCGTTTGCGGAGAAGAGTAGGCTATAGGAGTCCGCTCGCGGCCCGTGCGCCACTTTCCAAGCAGCACCCGAACTCCACGCGCTGGTCGGTGGGAGCAGGCAGGAAGGGTGATGGGTGTCGATCGTTCGCGTCACTTGTCTCAAGGCTTAATCAACACATTTACCAGGTCAGAGCTCGAGTTGGCGAGGGCTGGTATGCCTATTTCGGCATTCTGTCCCTCACGATCAGATTTTGCTATTGACTTCGGTGGATATTCACACCCCGGGTCGAATCTTCTGCGCCCATCCAATTCGCATCCATACCGTTTAAATGCTTCCCTGCCGTCGGTGGAGGGCTCTGGGGGCGTGGGATGAGGGACCGCATCATCAGTGCTTTCAATTGAGTGTACAACGTTCGGTGCCAGCAATCGACTCACTTCTGGTGTCCATCACCCCAGTGCCTCCTCCAGCCTCGCCACGATGCCTGGGACATGGGCAGATCCCACGATGGCCACCACATTATTGCCGCCCTGCTCGTGCGCTGTCCCACTCTGGACGCCGTCCCTGTAGCTCCAGCGCACCCCCTCGGCACCCCGCTCCCTGGTGTAGCACGGGGCGTCCAGCCCCTCCCCCCTCACGCGCTGCCACGGATCAGCGCCGCCATGCGAGCGTCCCGCTCCTCAATCAGCGGCCCCCGACGCCCCAGGCCAGTCCAACAACGCGTCCTCACCCCACAGCTTAAAGCCGGGGCCCTGGTCCTGCGAGGGAAAGGGTGGCGTGAGATGGATGTGAGCAACGTAAGGGCAGGGAGCCGTCTCCGGTGAGGGTTCACGACACACGATATACCGCACGAGGATGGGCCCCCCTTCGTGCCGGCGAGCGCTCGTCGCCCACAGCCCCACAAACCCCTGCGCGCCTGGATGGACGTGTGCAGGCGCACCGCCTCCTCGATCCCCTCCGCGCTCCTGTTCCCCAGCAGCGTGATCTCGGCCAGGGGTCCTACCAGCGGCCAGGCCGCGACCGCCAGCGGCACCGTCACGGCGAGCAGGACGGCCGCACCCCCCGCGCCGCCCTCCGGCGCGGCCGCCGAGGCGACGACCCCGCCCGCCGCCGCCGCCGCCGCCGCGCCGCCCAGGACGGGCCCCCAGGCGCGCTCCAGCCCCGCCGCCAGGCCCACCAGCGTGTGCCGCGACCTCGAGTCCCCCAGCACGACGGTGTCCACGCCCGAGGAGGCGGCGGCCCGGAAGGCGGCACGCCAGGCCTCGCCCAGGGCTATTCCCACTTTCCTGCCCGCCCGCTCCTGGAGCGCAGCGTACGCCCGCGTCAGGGCCCCCGCCAGGGCCGAGCCCAGCGGGTGCCGCGGGGCGTGGGCGGACGCGGGTGCGGCTTGCGTGTGTGCGTCTGGATCCGGGCATCTGATCGCGTCGCAGTCCCAGAGGGGGAGCAGGGCCACGGGGTGGGCCTTGCCTGGGACACCGGAACTGCCTGCTTGGCATGAGGAAATCACGAGCGGGGGACAATGAAGGACGGTGAGACAGGCTTTGAGGTCTTGTTAGGAACGCGAGAGCTAAGAACATTCTGGGTTGGGGCCCGACGCAGCAGCCATCGGCCGGCTTCCCCTCAACCATTCCTCCCCTGCCGTCGTACCTGGGTGCATCTCCAAGCTCAGCGCCACGCCATCACCGACGCCGCCGGGGCGCAGGACTGCGCAGAGGCCGCGCGGCACAGTCCGCGACCCGTCCCGCGCGAGCACGCGCCGCAATTGACGGGCTACCGAAACAAACAAGGGGAGGAGGGCGCCGCCTGCCCCTCTTCCCACCTCGGCCTGGACACGCTTGGCCTGCTCTGTGATTGTGAGTGAGAGCAAAAGTTGAGCCAAGTATCCTGCACTCTGGCACGTCTCCGAGGTCCAGTGAGGCTATTAGAACCTCAACCACTCCCACACAAAAAACCTCTCCCAAGTATGTTTTCCTGCCCTCCGCACCAAAACCCCACAAAACCTGGAGACAGCCAGGGTCGGATGGAGTCGGCATCGATCCTTAAGGCCCCGTTTCCAGTTCCGCCCTCAGCCTTGGAGCTGATCACATACTCCAGCTTCCCCATAGGCGCCACGATCCGCCACTCGGGGCTGCTGAAGAAGTCGGGATTGGCCTCGGGCGGGGGAGGGGCTGTCAGGACGCGCACAGAGACGACCATTCCTGGAGAAGTAGGATTGTGCGTGGGGATAGAAGGGAGTGAGCAAGCCAAACTTGGCAGTAAACCCATCGAAATTTAGTATCACACAACCTCAACCGCCGAGAGCACCCAAGCACCATCAGACACACCTCATGGTCATCAGGACACATACACAGCATACAATCTTATTTGTGAACACCGCGACACTGCCCATTAATCAAACAAGTTTCCAGCCGACCCCCACCCACACCTGTGGCCTTCAGAGCTATAACATCCTGCGCAATGCTTCGCTCAGTGATGGGCATCCCAGTGGCCGCGTGGAGGAGGGGTGCAACATCCTCCATTGTCAGCCAGCCGGGCAGACCGGACAGCTTCAGACCAGCGGCTTTCCAGCTTGAGGACGGCGGCGACCTGGGATCCACCAGCAGCCCCGCCCTGTCCTGACACAGCTCCAGGATCAGGGTGTGGGCTGGGACCATGCGCAGGATCTGGCGGGACTGCTGGCATGAGACCCTGGACGCATGGGAGATGCCTAGAATGTAAGCAGCACCACCGTTCCCCTGAACGCAGGCGGTGGACAGGCCCAGCTCGTGAGGTAGCTGTATGCGGGGAGCAGCAACCGAGGCTGCGAGGCATGCCGGGGAGATCGTCCGTCTGCGCGAGGTGAAAACCCGAGCATGGCACAGAGTGGCCATGGGCCCCAGCCCGGTGATGCTGCCGCAGCGGCAGAAACTCCAGAATCAATCAGAACGAAAAGATTCTTCATCGTTGAGATGAATGAAGGACCCATGCTGCGTTCAGGGTACTGCCAAAATCGCAGGATCTGAAAAAAGATGTCGGCCCAATCACGTGGTGACGACCGAGTGTTGTGGAACGAAACACAGAGACTCGAGCCTCGAGCCACATGGACAGGCAGAGAAACGTCGGTATATCATCATAGTTACACCTTGGATAAATATTCGAGAAGTCTCTTCCTCCTGGGATCGCGAGGGTTTCCCACCAGGACGAGGATCTGGAGCGGGGTCGGAAAGCCACGACGACCCACCTCAATACTCGAAGCGGGGGAAGCGGTGTAAACTTCTGAAGACCGTGTAGTTGTTTGTTTCCCAGATCCGGATTACAGAGAAGGCGCGGGCTGGTCTGGGTATGACCAACCCGACCATGGACAGGGACACTTTCGCCCTGCAGGAGCTAAAACGGTGAGTCGGGGTCGCTACAGGAACTGGACCCACATGGGAATTTTCATGGTTTTATTCCAGATCGGCACCTAGACCGGTCCACGCTCCCCTCCCAGGCTCCGGGATGAGATCAAGCTGTGGGAGAACAGGCTGCTGGCCAGCCAGGCGGAGGTCCAGACCCTCAAGTCCGACCTCGCCCGCCGGTCCCAGGCCCTGGCCCAGGCCGAAGACACCATCGTGGCGAGGACCAACAAGATCCTGAGTCTGGAAGGTATGTGTGTTGGTGGGATTTAACAAGGGGAGGGTCTGGGCCAAGCGCGCCTGTTGCTGGCCTGCACACTGCGGTGCGGATGAATGGCTGGATTGTACTGAGAAAGTGGCACCATCTGGCCCCACCATCAATCACAAAACCTGCAGCTGAGGTCAAGTCTGCCACGACAGCTGCCAGCCTAGCAGCCGCCGACCTGGCAGCCGCCCGCAGCGAGGTGCGAGCTGCCAATGCAGAGGCCGACCGCATCAGCGCGCAGCTGGTGGCGAGGAGCGGCAGCGCACAGACCGTCTTGGAGGGTGGGGTTTGGTGACGCCGTGCAGGGTGGCTGAATGGTTGTGCGGTAGCAAGGGGAGTGCGGGATGGGTGTGCTGAAAGCAGGCATGATACTACTTCAGGCAGCCCCCCCCCCCTCTGATCAACCCCGCCCCCCCCACACCCTGCCAGGCGCCAACGACGGCAACCACAAGCTGCAGAGCGCACTGGACGCCGCCCGCGCCGAGGTCAAGGAGCTCAAGGCCTCCCAGTCCACGATGATGGCGGCCCTGATGGCGCGAGACAGGAAGCTGGCCCAGCAGTCGGAGGAGCTGTCCAGCATGGAGGGCCTGCACCTCCGCGTGCGCCAGCTGGAGAACGAGAGGGTGGTCCTCAAGCGCGATGGCAGGGCGGCGGAGGACGAGGTGGCGGCCCTACAGGTGGGTGGCTGGGTAAGGGGCTGAGGGGAAGCTGCTGAGTCTACAGCGCGGCTTGCGGATGTGGGACTCCTCACCAGGCTTGGACATGCTGCAGGCTGCATCCCAGAATACTGCTGTTTTATTCAACCGTTCCACCCTGCCCTCGCAGAAGCAGCTGAACCTGCAGGAGGCGGGTGTGGCCGAGTCCAAGGCGGAGGCGGCGAGGCATCGCAGCGAGGCGCTGCAGCGCACAGAGTACCTGCGAACCGTGCAGCTGGAGCTGGAGGTGCGAGGGTTTGTTTTTTCTGCGGGAGACTCCGTGATTTCAAACACGGCATCGGCCGCTGTGTGCTGTGTCGTCCATCGCTCCGTAACTCCTAGAATCTGCTCGCCGGGCTGCCAACCACCCTCCCTCCCACCCCCTTCACAGACGACCAGAGAGACCCTGCGCGCCACCCAGGCCCGCCTGCTGGAGGCGGAGGGGGGCAGGCAGTCCTCCCCTCGCAAGTCCGTCGTGCTTTCCTCACGCTCGACCCCGGCCCCAGGTATTGTGGGCGCCGGCGGCGACCCGGGCGTCCCTCGGGCCGTGCACGAGGCAGCGCTGGCGGCGCAGCGTTCCGAGGTGGCGGCCCTCCAGGCCCGGCTGGCGGAGGCGGAGTGGGCGGCGCGGCGGCGCGATACCGCCGCCGCGGCCCCACCAGTGGCATCATCGCCGCCTCCGGCCGCCGCGTCGCCGACCCCAGCCGCCGCAGGCCCCGGCGAGGCCGCGCTCTCCGCGCGCCAGGCGCTGCTCCAAGCGCAGGGCGCATTGAAAGAGGGCCTGGGCAGCCTGGCCGCCGCCTCGCCCCGCCCCAGCCCCGGGCGCATCAGCATGGTGGCCAGCATGGCGGGGTTCGGCCCCGACCCGCCGTCCGGCCCTGCCACCGCCCGCGCGGTCCCCGCGATGGATGCCGCCTCCCCGGTGCTTCGTGCCGCCGAGCAGAGTCTGCGCAAGGCGCTGGGCGGCGTGGAGCGGGCGCTGGCGGTGCCCCGGCTGGACCTGGGTGCCGTGGATGGGGGTGGGTTTGGTGGGACCGGCGGGCGCGCCGCTGACCGGCCAGGCCCCGGGGCAGTACCGTTGGCTGATGCCCCTCGGCCCGAGGAGCGAGAGTTGGTCGAGGCACTGGCCGTGGCACGCGGCCAGAGTGCGGAGCTGCAGCAGCAGGTGAACGAGCTGCGTGCCAGCCTGGCCCGCGCCCGGACCCTGGAAGGCGAACCGGAGCAGGAAGAGGAGGAGGAGGACGACGCCTCCGGTTCCTCCCCGCCCCCCGCCGCAGCCCTGGCGGCCATCGAGGCGGCGCGGGCGCGCCAGGCCAATGCCAGCGCCGGCCAGGGCAGCCTGTGGTTTGGCGGGCGGCGCGGCGCGGCCCCCGGCCTGACCCCGGACCGCCTGGCGGAGGTGCTGGAGCGGCTGATGGAGGCGCGCGCCCGCGTCGGCGCGGACCCGCGCTCGGTCCACGACGAGGCCGCACGCCTGCTGAATGCCGAGCTTGCACGCCTCGGCTCCGCGCTGGTGGAGGGCATGCAGGACGCCGAGCGCTTGCGCGGCGAGGTGGGCCAGCTGGAAAGCGCGAAGCTGTCGGCGCGGGCCACCGCCACGCGCCTGGACGAGCTCAACGCGCTGTCCCTGAAGGTGGGACCCGGTGTGCGGAGGAGGGGGGGGAGGTGGTCTAGGAGGGTGTGCAAAGGGGTGGTCATCATCATCAGCCTGCACTTTGGGACGGGTGGGGATTTATTCGACTCCCAATCTCAGATCACGGTTGGCCATTAAGCACAGACACCCCCATGCTTACTCTGTGGCCGCTTCTCACTCCTAATCCCCGCTCGACCATGACTGTCGCAGGTGGGCGCCCTGCAGCTGGAGCTCACGCGGGTGCAGGTGGAAAGCGCGGAGCGGGAGGGCGTCCTCCTGGCCGAGTTGAACCGGCGCGGGAAGAAGAAGCGCTCGCTGAGGTCCAAGCTGTCCAAGGCATGTTATGTAGGGGATGGGAATAGGGTATATGCCTGGATTGGGATGGGGCTGCACTTCTTCAGGTGGGCCCAGCAGGCATGCTTGTCCACTTCTGGCACCATTCAAATGGCCTACATCCCTCTGTGCTGGCCACTGTGTTCACCCCATTGCTGTGGAATCCGCCTCGTCTTGCTGAGTCTTCAGCAACATACAGCCTGCCTGGCATCCCCACTCGACCTCGTGCGACCCTGCCCTGACCCTCGCAGGCAGCAAGGGGCCTGCAGTCCTCCCTTGAGTCTGCCTTCGAGAGGTCTGACAAGAAGGGAGCTGAGGGCTCTACGCCCAAGGCCAAGGATGTGCACGTCTCCTCGACCCCAGGTCTGGGAAGAGTGTGCTGCGGGCACATGGTCTGTTTGACACTGCCCTGCGCCTTGCTTCTGGCTGCCGTCCTCCGTCACACACTTCAAGCCCACTGGCCAGCACATCACCATTCGTCCTGCATCTTTCCTTTATCCTTGCAGACCCGGCCAGTCCTCAGCTGGCGGATAAGAAGACCAAGGAGCGGGCTCTTTTGGGCCGCTTTGGTCTTGGGAGGAGGTGACATTCCAGGCCATTTTCCCAGCGGCAACCCCTGCAGCGCTCTGACCTGCAACCTGGATGTCGCTACCTTAGATGCTGCAGTGTGCAGATTGGCATATAAGCACCAGCCCACCACTTCCATCCACCTTCATGGTGTGCATTGCTTCACCGCCCACAGTCCCATGTTTCAAGAATGTGGAGGATGCTTGGCGCAAAGTCTTAGGCGTCATCTCCTGCTTAAATAACATGGGATCGCAACAGATATCAAGTCGGCATGTCAAGACTCCCACACATGCAGCCAGGGAGGGAGGGAGGGCATGGGAGGGGCTTGGGGATGGCCATAGGCGTGAATTAGGAGGTGAGGGCGGACTGTTTCCATGGAGCAATCCATGGACTGGCTTACTATCAGGAGTACCAGGCTGGCATGGCACAGAGGGCATCTGAGCCCCCATCCATCCAGTGCCGAGTCTCAAGCTGCTTCTCATGCGGTGGCTGGCTTCTTGCCCATGATGCGGTCGCCCAGCGCTCCGTACAGCAGCGAGTAGAGGGTGGCGACGCACACCACCCCCGCGAAGATGTTGCCCAGCGTCACCGGGATCAAGTTGCGCAGCACAAAATCGCGCATGTTGACATCCGCGCCTGAGGCAGCGAGGTGTGGGAGGACAGGGAAAGAAGCTCATGAGATGGGAGATGCAGGTGTGCAGCCTGCACAGCGGGCACCTCAGTGCAGCGTTCATCCATGCCAGAAACCTTTCACTGTGAACTGCCAAGTATTGACAGGATTCCCAGACATTCCCCTTCACCCCCCCCCCACACCCCAGCCTCTCATCGAAACCACACCCGCACCCGCCAGGATGCCGAGGGGAACGAAGAACATGTTGGCGATGCAGTGCTCCAGACCGATGGTGACAAAGGCGGAGATGGGGCCCAGGCAGGCAATGAACTTGCCGCCGTAGGTCTGCGCCGCGGTGCACTGCCAGACGGCGATGCAAACCAGCCAGTTGGCGCCGATGGCGCGCGCCAGGGTCACGCCCACCGGCGCCCCCGTCTTATAGATGGCCAGGGCGGCAGCGCCACGTGTGAGCTGCGGCAGCAGCCCCGAAGCCACGGCCAGGCCCACCCCCGCTGCGGCGCCCAAGATGTTGCCGGCATAGGAGCAGATCCAGGACTTAGCCAGGGACCGGAGGTCGGCCTTGCCCTCGTAAACGGCTGCGGTGACCACCGCAGTGTTCCCTGTGAACAGCTCCGCGCCGCAGGTCAGGATGGTGAGCAGGGCGTAGGGGAAGCCGATGGCGCCGGTGATGTACCGGGCCAGCCCGGGGTTGTCCCCGGCCATGGCCACGCAGTTGGGGCCTACGGTGAGCAGCAGCATGCCGCCCAGGGAGACATACATGCCCGCCATGGCGCCCGCCAGCACGATCTTCCACCAGGGCAGAGCAGCCTTGTATGCGCCCAGGTCCGCGCACTGCGAATGTGTGTGTATGTGTGGGGGCTTGCAGGACCATGAGGCTGTGCCATACACATGCAGCATTGAGTTCCAGGACCGCGGTTGCCGACCACACCTGGCCCTCCCATACCCTTCCGCTCACCCCATACCAAGCCAGATCTTGTCCTCCGTTCATCACACCCACCTTGTGGTACACGGCCTGGGGAGAAAGCACGGCTGAGACGTTGACGTCATGGGTGATGCGGACGGGGGTGGGCTCGGGCGGGGGGGCGCCGCCGCTGGTGATGCCGTTGCCGCTGGTGCCGGGGGTGAGGCCGGGGGCCGAGGAAGGGAGGCTGGAGGAGGAGGCGGGGGTGTGCACACGGGGGCGCAGCTGGGGCCGGGCTGGGGCGGACCGCAGGCACCTGCCGAGGCGCAGCCCACAGGGACCTGGTAAGAAGCGGTGTGGAAGGGCACACGTTGCAAGGACCGAGCTGCAAGCTTGAGAGGAATGAAACAGGTGCAGTGGGCACTGAAACAGGTGCTGGGCATGGCTGCCATGCCCCAGCAAGGGGAAGCATTCCAGCATGGCTCGTGCTGACCACGACCGGCATGGGTTGGCCATGGACGCCAAGAGCAGTGGGCCGACACATACTCACACGAGGACCCTAAAACTACCACTTGACACAATGCAGCCCCTGATGTCCACATGGGGCCCACAGCATGCTCCTCACCTGGCGCGACGAGAGAGGCGTGGGCGACACAGGCCATGGCTAAAACCGTGCTGGACTGACCGGACACGATAGCACTCCAGATTCACGCAACGGCCTCGACGCACAGGACAGAAAGCAGGCAGAATGCAGCCCGCCCCTGCGTGCTGCGGTGCTTGAGGATCACGAGGATGACTGGATTCTGGCCACCGCAGGCAGCTGGCAGCTGGCCGTCGCTATTTGACGCGCGCCCACCTCCATCTACGCTGACTGCACACCTGTCGCCGGGACCCAGCCACACCCCTAGCTCTGGAGCTACCAATCTCTTCTTTCTGTCTCTCAGAAGCTGTCACAGCCTCCTCACCATGCAGAAGAGGCATCAAAATCTGCGACGAGCAGGAGCCCCGCCTTGGGCTGCAGTGTGTATGTCGGGAAAGGGTGGCGGGGCGGAGCACTGGCCATCGCATCCTCGGGCGGCCCCAGACCGGTGTCCACCGCCCGCCTCCATGGGTGCCGAGCCTGGAGGTGGCAAGGAAGGAAGGTCGGAGGTCAGCGCATGTCGATGGAATGTCCTGGGGATTCCTACTTTAGCCAAGCATGCATGCCCAAGCGTCGCTGTCTCATCCTACACCTCGAGCATGGCACCACCCAAACACCCAATGCTGCATATCAGCCCCCACCGGGGGAGCTGGGGGTGTCGCCGTGACTTCCACGTCAGAGGCGTTCACAGCGAGGTACAGGGCTGGCGCACCGCCCGGCCCCACGACCGCCATGGCCAGAAATCCAGCCTCTGGCAACCCAGCCAGCGCAGCAGACCCGTCCCAGTCAGGCTCGCTCCCTGAGGGTGCATTGGGCAAGTGGAATGATGTCGAATGGTCGGTCCTGAGCCGCTGGACATGCTCGAATGGGGCTTGGGCACGCTAGGGGCCAGGTGCAGATGTCAACGACGATCCTCGGGATAGCGGGGAATACTTCCATACGGCCACCCAAAGCACCCTTTGCACGCAAGGCGATGGCATGAATTCCCCCCAGAGTGCCCCTCGGTGCACAAACACTCCTCGATCACCCGGCGCGGCGCCGTGCCAGCGCACGCTGCGCGCGCCCTGCCCAAACGCGGCCGGCAGGAGGAGGTCCGCCCACCGTCGGCGGAGGCGGGTGACCCCGCCCACGAAGCGTGCAAAGCGCGCCGCGTCGTCCAGGGACAGCAGGGGCGTGCCCGCCGCGCACAGCGCGACCAGCAGCGCCGTCTTGAGCGCGACGTCCTGGCCGCCGGGCGGCAGGGCCAGAGTGTGCACGCAGGCCGAGGGCGGCCGGGCCACGGCCAGGTTGCCAGGAGTGAGGCCCTCCCCCTCGGCGGCAAAGACGGCCGGGCAGGCCTCCAGCGCCTCCTTCAAGGACGGTGGGTGCGCGAGCGCCGAGCCGCACAGCGGGCCCAGCGTGGCGGCCGCCAGCGACCCGTCAGACTCCTGCCACTCGCCCCAGTGCGGGAAGCCGCGCACACCCTCCCTAGGCACAGGGAGGTGGGATGGAAGGATTGGGTGCCTGGCGAACCCAACAGACGAGCAATTGCAGCACAGATGCCTTTCCCAATATCACGAGCGCCACGTGCCTGGGAAGCAGGGTCTTGTCTGCCGTGCTGGCAATCATCTGCAGCCCAGCGAGGACCGGGTCGTAGGCGATGGCGGCGGCCAGGGGCGGCGAATCCAGTATGACGCCATTGCGATCTGGGGAGGGGAGGGCGAAGGCGTGAGCAGGTGTCCCGGCACCAGGTCTCGCAGATCCAACGACACGTTTGGTGTAGGGGGGTCATCATGAGGACACAGAGCAAGCCCTGCCGTGCTGCCATCCTCCCAGGTTCCTGCCCCAGGGCAGCTAAGCCACCCTACCTTGGAGCCCCAGGATGTCACCCAGAAACAGCACACAGGGGCTAAGAACCACCCCTCCAATCAGTGATGATCCGGCGCACCCTGCACCAGGTTCTCGGCGCCCATGAAGTTGAAGCCGTCCATGCCGTAGTCCAGCGCCCAGTGCCGCAGCACGTCGATCATGTACTGCCGCACCACCGCGTGCCCGGCGTTCAGGACGCCCGCTCGGCGGTAGTACACCGCGTGGTCCAGGCCGCGGAAAGAGAGCGGGCACGGACTGTCGTCGCCCCCCTCGGCCGTGAAGGTGAAGTCGACCTGCGCGCGGGTGCGGCGGGTGAGGTGACGGAAGTTCACACCCATGGGGCGCCTGCACAGCGCACGAGCAGCGTTTCCTTTCCCATCCTCGAGGCGCGGACCTGCATGAGCACCGCCAGGCCGGCGGCATGCAGGCCTGCCACCAGCCGCTGCACCTCTCTGGAGGCCGCCTCGGGCGAGGATGCCAGCGTGGGGTCCGGCGCCCAGTACGACACCGCCGCCCTGCCCCTGTCCAGGGGGGTCCCTGGTGGTGGAGGAGGGGGTTGGAGCAGGCCGGGATGGGGGAGGGCACGGGGAGCGGGACCCGATGGGCTGTCGGATTGGGGCCTCAGCAAGGGTGAACCCTCACAGGACAGGACGGCGCACCCCTGGCCCTCTCACAAGGAAGGAGGCACCGTGAGACCCCGGTACATGACACTCACCCGCCCAGGCGGTGGCGTAACAGGGGCTGAGGACCACGGTGTTGAACCCGAGGGCCTGGATCTCCGGGATCAAGTCCAGCGTGCCCAGCAGCGTCCCATCGCCGGCGCCCCGCACATCCACGGCCACCATGCAGCGCTGGTGAGTGGGAGGCACGGCCTGGCTCCTGCCTGCGGGCCTGCCGGCGGCCACGTCGGCGCCCAGCACGTCCAGCCCGGAAAGCAGGAATGCGGGGACCTCCCCCTCCTGCAACGAGATGCTGGGAGCCTTGAGGGGGCCCAGGCCCCGCACCGCCTCCCGCGTCAGCACAAGCGACGACGCCATTGGATCCAGCAGCAGACGGTCTGTCGCATCGTGGGGGGGTGGGGTGCAGGGGTTTGGGTGTTTGGGGATGCACTGTGGCGCGCGTTCGGCTCGGCTGGGTCACCTTGGTGTGTAGGTACATGGTCTCCATCCATCGCAGCTCAGCAATGGAGATGCCAAGGAAGGGCATGTCAAAGTGGCATGGCACCAACCCTACTCCCCTGCTTGCCCAGGTCCCTTTCCCTGCATTCCTACCACACCTCCCAACCCTCGATCCCCCAGACACCTGGCTGCGTGCGGTTCCCGCCGTCCCAGGCCACCTCCCCGTCGATCCGCCACGCGTAGGCCAGCCCCTCGCGGCGGCTCAGCGTGGGCAGCGTGACGTGCCAGACGTCCCCCGTCCTGTTCACGGCCGGGTCCAGCTCCAGCTCCAGGGCTTTGGCCCAGGCCCCGTCCCCGCCGCGGCGGAAGAGCAGGAGGCAGGCGCCATGCGCCGAGCGGGAGGCCAGCGCGAAGTTGGCGCCCCGCTCCGCTCCCGGCCGCCCCGCCAGGGAGGGCCCCAGCGGCACCGGGGTCCCCGGCAGCGTGCCCAGGGGGACCGCAAAGTGGCGGGCGACCAGGGGCAGCACCGGCCGCCCCGCCGCCGCGCCCACCCAGGCCAGGGTCAGGGGCGCCAGGCGGGCCGGAAAGCGCAGCGTGATGCTGCCGTGCATGTCAAAGGGGGACCGCATCGCCCCGCTGCGCTCGTCCAGGGTGCTGCGGGGGGGTGAGCAGCCCGCGGGGTGCTGCCAGCGCCGGGAGGAGCCGCGGTACACGCCCCAGAGCAGGGTGGGCGGGCGGGCGAGACCGGAGAGTGGGCCGCCGCTGAGCTGGATGGTGACGGCGATGGTCTCCTCATCCTCTGTCACCGATACCGTTGCCTGGGGGATGCCAAGGTGGGGGGAAGTAGGAGGGCAGGTCGCAGGCAGTCGGACTGCCTGTCGGGATGGGCACTGCAAGATACTGTTAAGCAGGGGTGCGAATTCACCTCACCTGGCCACCAGATCTGCAGGGTAACACGCTGCGATGCTGACGGATAGGCTCAAGAGTGGTCTTCTTGGGATTTTCAGTCGCGGTTTCTGGCGATCGGATCGGCTTGGCGATCTCATCGCTGGCAGGGGCCGGGCTCGCTGTGGGACGCTTCCTCGATCGCTTGACCGCCTCGCATCGGGGACCCTGCGCCGGACGCTGCCGTCTCGCCACGCGGTGCCCGTCTGAGCTCGTCACAACCCATGATTGAGAAGTTCTGGATTGCCCTGGGATGCGTACGCCCCGCAGCATCATCTGGGTGGGTTGGGTCTAGGCAGGAGACAGGCAGAAGACAGCGCAGGCTCCTGCTTGCCGACCCTCAACCCTTAGCGTGGCCAGGGCATGTGCACAGAATGCGAGTGATCAGCGAGGCATGAATGCTCTTGAGCAGGAGGCCCACCAGATCATGGCACACTTGGATGTGTTGGGCGCGCAGAGTACGGGTCTTCCGATTCCTCCACTCTCGGCATCGTCGATTCGAATGCCTCCGCAACAGCCGCCTGGGATCTCATCACCCCCCTGTAACTCCTGTTGTGACTAGAGACTGCAGTTGCATGCAGGCACGCATGCACACGCATGCAGTGCAGCCTGTTGATTGTATCTCCTCCCGCCGCTGTAGCTATGAGCACTTGCAACAAGCTGGATCACAGTTGATCAAAGTCCCAGCGACAGCCACTCGGGAGCACGTCCTCTGCCATACACTCTCAGGCGCCTTGTAGTTTGAGCAGGGCAGCCACCTGGTCTGCCAGGTCGGCAACCTCCCCAGCCGGGCCGGCCCAGTTCCTCTCCCCCAGCAGCTCCAGCGCCTGCTCCTCGGCCTCCATTCCATCCTCTGCCTCGTCGGGGCTGGAAAGCAGGGCCAGGTACAGGTACTCGGCCGCGCTGCGGCGCACTGCCGGGAAGCGCGAGCCCAGCATGGCCCACAGCAGGCGGCGCGCCGGCTGCGCGCAGGCTTCCCCCGAGCCCAGCGCGCCCAGCAGCGCGGCGACCGCCTGGAGCCGGGGCAGGTCGGCACCCCGCCGGGCAACTTCAACACGCAATCGCTCCAGCAAGCCAAGCTGGAAGGCGGCGTCGCCCGCCAGCGGCGTCCGGGCCAGCAGTACCTCTGCGCTGGCGAGCAGGGGGACGCCGGCGAGCCGCTGCACATGCGCTCTACGCGCTTTGTTGGCTGATCCGCTGGCCGAGGCCTCTGGAGCACCGCACGGCGCTCCTGACTCCGGGCTTCTCCGGCCCTGCGTCCCCCCCGCCTCCGCGTCCCACAGGCGGAGGAAGGCGTCGCCCACCGCCCGCCCGCTTGCCGCCCCCGCCTCACAGCACGCGCCTGCCAGCGCGTCGGCCGCCGCGGCTGCCACCTGCGCGTCGCGCCCGCCCACGCTGTGCACCAGCCCTGCCAGCACGGCGGGCGCCAGCGCCTTCACGCTGAGTAGCCTGGCCAGGGAAGCCAGCTCGGCAGCATCTTCATCCGCGGCGGCCAGGTCCGCGGCGTCGACGGCGTGCGCCACCGCGGCGCAGATTGCCGGCGCCGCGGAGTGCGGCAGCAGCTCGCCGTCCGCCAGCTCACGCAGCGCATCGCGCGCCGCCCTGCGCACGCGCCCGATGCGCTCCACCCCCTGCTTGCAGGCCGCGGCGACGCACTCGAAAGCGAAGCGCTCCGTGGCGCATGGCTCTGAGTCTGCATCGCCATGGCAGTCTCTGCCCTCCAACACCGCCCCGTCCTCGCCGTCGCCGCGCATCGCGTCCCCCCCATCCTTGCAATTGGCCCCCCCGAGCCCCGCCCGGCACCGAAGCATGCCCGGCAGCGCGCGCAGCGCGGCCTCCCGTGCCCAGCTCCCCACATCGCCGCGATTGTCCACCGTGTAGTCCCCCAGCGCGGCCAGCGCGGCGCCCAGGCCCAGCGCGCACAGCGTGAGGGCGGGCGCGGACTGCGCCACGACGCAGGCCCCCGCCAGGTCGGCCAGCGCGGCGACCGCCGCACTGCGCACGTCGACGTCGGCCTCCGCGCCGGAGGCCGGGTCTGCGGCGGCGGCCAGGGCCTGCGTGGCCGCCAGCAGCGCCCCCGCGGGGACCTGGCCGGGGGGCAAGACCGCCAGGCCGCGCGCCGCGCCGCGCCGCTCGGCGGCGGTGGCCCCGCCGCGCAGCGAGGCTAGGAGGCGATGCGCCAGATCGGGCCCCGCACCGGAGGCCAGCGCGTAGGACCCCAGCGCCGCCACCGCCGCAGTCTGCGCGTCGGGCGCGGCGCAGCGCAGGCAGTCCAGCAGCGTGGCCTGCATGCAGGCCGCCTGTGCTGCTGACAGCGGCACCCTTGCTTGGGAAATGGTGGCTGCCAATCTGTGGGACAAAGGAGGGGGTGGGAAGGTTTGAGAGTCGTGAGCGTGCTCGGCAGGCGATTCAAGGCCTATACAATGCAACCCCGAGGCCCGGATAGCCTGCACAGAGTGAGCGTGTGCTGAATCTCGCTACTTCCTTTCGCCATCTCCTCACCCATTCAATCCCACAAGCTAGTATGCCTCTATGGACTGCCCTACTCCCCCTTTCTTCTGCCCTCAACCCCACCTACCTGCACAGGGCAGTGCGCATCACCTCGCCGCCTTTTCCTCGGTTCAGCTTGGCGGCATCGATGCGCGGCAGGATCTGGGCCAGGTCGGCATGGAAGGGCGTCAGCGCCTCGCGCGGCAGCGCTGCCACCAGCTCAGCGACCCCCGCCACCGCCCCGTGGCGGCTCTCCAGGTCCGCCGACTCTGTGAGTGGGAGCAGGGTCGGCAGCGCCGTGCCCGCCAGCCAGTCAGCATCCACACGAGTTAGATCTGTGATATTGGAGTGAGAGGGTGATTCGAGGTGATGGGTAAGAGAGATGTCAGGGGGGCGATCGTGTCCTGGGATCTTAAAGGCGGATAACCTTCAGAGGAGCATACACCGTACCATCACAGAGAGAAGCTCACCCCAATACTCTTCCCTGAACATGAGATGCTGCTCTGCCTTCCTCCCCCACCAGCTCTCATCCTATTGCGCATACACACACACACCCTCGCATCACCTGCCAGGGCCAGGCTGGCGAGCTCGCGCAGCGCCTTTTCCCAGTGCCGCAGCTTGACGTGCAGCAGGTGGCTGGCCAGAGGCAGGAAGTAGCCGGGGAAGGTGGCGACCTGGACCGCCACGCAGCGATAAGCCTGCGTGGGGACCAGGGCGGAAGAGGAGGAAGATCCAGATGTCATGGCAAGGAATGGAACTACACGCAAAAGCCATGCAAGCGATGCATGGAACTCCCCCCTACATGGTGCGGCATGCCACTGAGGCCAAGCATTGACCGCCACGCCTGCACAATCATGTGCGCACGGCAGACAAGAGGTGCTGGGACTCTCCCACCGCCAAACTGTCAGCTACCACCTCCCCCCTCCTTTCCGGGTGCGCACGTTGACGCGGGAGGAGACTGTGAAGTAGTCTGCGGCGGTGAGGATGTCGATGCCGTGCGGCCACTCCCCCAACCGCCCCACCAGCTCCTGGAAGGCGGCGGCCCCTGCCCTCCGGCAGTTCACCTCCCGGTCCAGGCATGCCAGGGTGATGAGGGGGGGCCCCAGCTCCCCCACCACCGCGCCCAGCTCCGCGGGCGTCCAGGCGCGCGCCAGCGCCCAGGCGACGTAGGCGGCCGCGTCGCGGACGTGCGCGCCCACGCTGCACGGCCCGCGGCGCAGGTCGTAGCGCAGCGCGGCGCGCAGCGTGCGCAGCGTGGCACCCGCCTCGCGTGGGTCCAGCAGGCGGCGCCGCGCCAGCTCGGCCAGGGCCAGGCAGCCGCCATGCCACGCTGCGTCGGCGCCGGCGTGGCCGAAGGCCGCCTCGGCCACGCTGGCCGCCACCTGGCGGGCGAGGGCGGGGGGCAGGCCCCCTGCCACGCGGCCCACGCCCTTGGCCGCGCTCCAGCGCACCACAGTGTCCTTGTCCCCCCAGCCCGGTGAGGAGGGCGTCCAGCACGTCTGGCAGGGGAGGGCGGGGCGTCGCAAACAAGCCTCACGTGCAACCTGAGTCGGTGTCGTGCTCCCTGCCCACGATCCAGACACAGGACAGCCATGGAAACTCACCTCCACTTCCCTCACCCCCCAAAAGACAATCTTGCCTTCTATTGCGCTGCCATGCATCAGTCCCGGCTCCTTGGCGACATCGCCGGCCGGCGGCAGCAGCACCAGGCCGATACGTTGCATGAGCTTCATGGACAGGCGGCGGGCGAGCGCGCCCCCCTGCGTCGCCTGCTGCGCGCGCTGCGCCAGGGGCAGCAGGCGCAGCGCCGTGGCGCCCAGTCGGGCCCGATCGCCGTGGCGCAGCGTGGCCGCCAGCGCCAGGAGGATCCCCGGGACGAGGAAGCCTGCCTCGCACGCGTCGGTCCCCATGCCCGCCAGGCGGGTCTCGGCCCAGGTCACGCTTTCCTCCAGCGCGGCAGCCATGTCGGGGCGGGTGACGCAGCGCCCCAGCACCTCCGCCGCCATCTCCCGCGCGCGGCTGGGGCTGGACAGGTGCGCCTGGCACAGGCGCAGGATGGAGGCCGCCAGGGGGGCCAGCGCCGCCCGCTCCCCGTCGCCCAGCTGCGAGTCGAGGCTGGCCAGGTCAAAGGGGACCAGGACGAGGTGGGAGAGCCAGAGCAGGAGCACGCACTCTGCCTCCCACAGGTGGTCCATGCAGGTGTCGTGGAAGCCGGCGGGGCCCTGCGTGCGAGCCAGCGGGAGCTTCAAGTGGGTGAAGGGATGTCTTGATGGGGCCGAAACCCTGGACCCAAGCTGACGCCTGGCAGCTGTGACATACCACAATACAATGTTTTGCATTTCACGAGCTGTGTGTCCTGTTGAGTCATATTGGGGCCGCCGTGTGCGTTGCCAACATTTCTGGGACTCCCAATCCAACTTCCACCACTCACCCTGGTCTGCAGCGTCTCCAGCAGGGCAACCACCGGCTCCAGGCACTGCGTGTTGTTGGGCAGGAAGCGCGATACAGTCCTCCGGCCCCTGCGGTGCGAGTTGGTTGGTGCACCCTGGGCGAGGTGTGGGGGTGGCAGGCACACTGAGATGATGGTGCAAATGGACAGTCACTGCGCCAGGCCCCCAACATGCGCATGTACCTCACGGTAGCCAGAGTCCAGATCCAGCGAGACAACCCAACGAGGGTGCTGAGGTGCGGCACCGCATCCCCCTGCCGGATCAGCCCATCAAGCAGGGACCCCAGGGGGTCCAACAGCCGCTGCAGCAGGGAATCCAGCAGCTGTGGCTGCTCCTGGTAGCGGGTCACCTGCGAGCAAGTTGTGCCATGGCTGCTTGAAATCATCAGTGGCCTGCCTGGCATGTAAGCTGCAACCCACAATACCCTACACCAATGGCCAACGCACGATGCAGGCAAAGGCATGGTGGAGGTCGGCAGCCGAGCGACCCTCGGTCTGTACAACAGTATTGAGTAGGTCCAGCAGCTGTTCCTCCTCAAGCAGGCTACTTCGACTGCACTCGGCGGCCTCTGCGGCCTCGACATCGGCGGTCGTCATGGGTACCCGCCTGGCTTGATCACTTCCGGCCCAAGCGGTACTCTGCCAGCATGCATGCTCTGGACAGCACACTCAACATCGGTGGTGTTATTGATTGCTTCTTCACCAATGTCAATGATTGACAGGCCTTGCAGAGATAATCTCATGACCATTCGAGCAGTATGTTGAGGGCATCGGAGTTCCAAGCCGTGCTGCGCCGTGCTGCGGGACTCGGAGCTTGCGAACTGAGAATGGGGGAGGGTGGATTCCAACACACAGTGTGTCCTTTTCACTTCGGGATCAAGAGGACGATGCCACAGCATGGTAATGCTTTGCTTTCGCCAGAGCACTTGACATCCATCCAGCGCTGGTGGAATCTCTGAAGCCCACTACGGCTGGATGGCGGAAGCAAGCCCCGACACAACAGCACCGGCCCCCCCCGAAAACGGACCCAGCAAGGCCACACCATCTCGCGATGAATCTATCTCAGATTATGCGGAGCAGTCTGACCTTCCCACCTACACTAGCTATCAGTGCGCGCACACCCTGACAGGTCACACGAGAGCTGTCTCCAGCGTCCGGTTTAGCCACTCTGGCGCCTCCCTCGCCAGCGCCAGCGCCGACGGCACCGCGCGAGTCTGGGACGCCGACACAGGCTCCTGTTTGCACGTGTTGCAAGGTCACTCCAAGGTGGGGGTTTTCAAGGGGGGGGGTTGGCCTGGCCTGGGCTGGTGTCAGCATCAAGGGCAACCACTGCGCTCTCTTGTCATCCTAACACTGGTCGTCACATGCCCATCCACTCCTCTCGCCACCCACCACAGGGTCTGAACGACGTGGCGTGGGCCCCCAGCGACGCCCACCTGGCCACCGCCTCCGACGACTACACCTTGAGGCTCTGGAATGCAGGAACGGGGGCGCCGCTGCGCACGCTGCGAGGCCACACCCACTTTGCCATGTGCGTGGCCTTCAGCGCGACGGGGGTGCTCCTGGTCAGCGGCAGCTTCGACGAGACCATCGTCGTGTGGGACGTCGCCACGGGGCAGGCCATCCGCGTGATCCCGGGGCATTCGGACCCCATCACCAGCGTCGCCTTCTCGCGGGACGTGCTCAACCCAGCCATCGTGTCGTCCTCCTTTGACGGCCTCATGTGAGTCCTGCCAGGGAGTGCTTGCATAAACGCTGGGCTGACAGATTGGGGTGCTGTATTGTACCAGGAGCTGGGTGGTGGGGACCGCAGTTCCTCGTCGTAAACTACCTCCCCCCCCCCCCTCCCCAACCTCTGTTCCAGACGAGTCTGGGCCGGCGACACCGGAAACTGCCTGGTAAGCCTCCTCGCCACAGGAGGCCCACCCGTCTCGTTCGCTGCCTTCACCCCGAACGACAAGTATGTGCTGGCGGGCCGCGTGGATGGCAAGATAGTGCTCTGGAACTACCACACCAAGCAGCCGCTGCGGACCTTTGAGGGTCACAAGAACACAAAGTTCTGCCTCCAGGTACTTGCATGCGGGCTGACTTTTGTTGGGGGAAGGAGCACGATTTGTTACTGTCTTCTGGTGGGAGTGGGCCACAATGGGGAGCGCTTGCTACCTCCAGTATTGTGCCGCCGTTCAAGCATGCCCTCCCTGCCCACAGGCCGCCTTCCTCTGCCTGGGCGTCGAGGAAACTGGCTCCTCCGCTCCGCCCGCGGCGGTGATCTGTGGGAGCGAGGACCACCACATCTACGTCTGGGGCGTGAACGGGTCCCAGGGCGGCGTGGCACCGCTCCTGGGCCTCCTGCGGGGGCGGGCCGGCCCCGATGACCCCGGCGAGGGCCACTGCGACGTGGTGCTCTCCGTGGCCGCCCACCCCCACCTCCCCGTCCTGGCTTCCTGCGGGCACGAGCGGGACAAGACCGTGAAGATCTGGAGGCACGTATCCCTGCCCTGAGGGGGAGTTTGAGAGGGCTATGTAAGGAGGAAAGATCTGCCGGTGCCTGCAGCATGTTGGCTTGCTAAGGCCGCTGGGACTCTGTCCAAGGCATCCAGTGCCAACCCTGAAATCCCAAACTCAAATTCATGGACGTAAGAGGAGACAGTTTGGATCGTAGCATGTGCATGTAGAACATCGATGCAGAGGGGGCCCGGCCGGCAACTTGCTGCTCCAGGAGGATCCCGACAGATTCAGCCGTGCACCCTGCGGCGCATGCCACGCGGCATCCGAAATCCAAAAAGGCACGGGAACAGCCTGCGACGGGCACGAGTCGCCCACGGCCCACGCCTACTAGCATCGCAGTCGACAACGGAATGCTACACGAATCACTCTAATCTGTAGGGCTCGGTGGGCGCTCTTCAGAGGTTCGAAGAGCAAACAGCCTCCGGGTCTCGCCAGGGATGGCCGGTCCGGGGCTCAACATTCTGCACGAACTCAGACGCCGGGAATGCTTCGGGCCAGCAGGTGATGCCGATTTGGTTGATTCTGGAACTTTAGCCGGCTTTTGACGCAAGCGCTTCTGTCCATAGCTCGGCTCCAACATAGGCGTCTTCGTGTCCTCCCTTGCAGTCCTGCCTCTGCCGCCGCTGGGCGAGTTTACTTGCGGTACAGCGACAGGCAGCGGAGTCATCAACAATGACCCCTCCATGGTGGGCTCTCCAGCATTCGCGGCATCATTCAACGGGGTGAGCACACGCCTGCAAGGCTTTGGTGGGTCTGGGAGAGAGACACAGGACATCAACCCCCCTTGCATCGCTGCATGTGACTGTCCAGATACACCAATATGGGACACAGGCAGGGAACACGTCCAGATTCCCTTGCTGTCACAAGCGAATGCCTCCAAGTCTCCCCCTCACACCCACTCAGGTGTACAATCACGGCCGACTGCTGGCGCTGGCAGATGAGGAGGGGTACCTGACCATCATTGACACCTCCCAGGCCCTCCCCCGCAGCACTGCCGACGAGGCCGGGCCGCGCCCCTCTGCTCAGTGGCTCGCCCACCGCAACGCAATCTTTGACCTGGCATGGTTCAGGGTGAGGAGAGAGTGAAGGGGTGCAGGGATCGTGGGCATACTTGTCAGGATTACAGGCTATCATTGTGTGGGTCCCCCACAGGCTGGACATTCGGGATGAACATCCACACCGTCACAGGGCATCACCGAGCCTGACCTTCTCTCCTTCCTTTCCACCCACCGCATTCCTGTCAGGAGGACGAGGCCATGCTGGCGGCGTCGGGCGACCAGACCATCTCCTTGTGGGACACGGGCATGGCCGAGCAGCTGGGAACCTTCTGCGGCCATACCGGCAGTGTCAAGACCCTGGACCCCATGCCCGGCAGCCGACACGTCTTTGCCTCGGGGGCGCGCGACGGCCAGCTGGCGGTGTGGGACACCAGGATCCACTCGCGGACGCCCGAGGGCGGCACCCCCCCCGTCCTCACCGTCCAGGTGTGTGTGGGATGTCAAGGGGGATGGGGCAAAGAGCAAGGAACAGGTTGCCATCTCCTTGCCAGAGCTGCTCAGGCCTGGGTCTGCGTGCCAGGCACCCCTCATGCCCCTTACCAAGGGCGTCCGGTCCAAGCAGAGGGTGGGAATCCTGTGTTGTACATACCAGTGGGCCGGCGAGACATGCTCATTGAATCTCCCCACCAGCTTCGCCTTCCCGCAATCCCTTTCAGCACCCCACCCCACCCCGACACTCCCAACAGGACGCGCACGCGGCGGGCGAGCCTCGGCGGCGGGGCCGGCCGCGCACACCCCTCCAGGGCCGCCCCAAGCTGTCCGTCACCTCGGCGCTCTTCCTCCCCGACGCCCGCACGCTGGCCACCGGTGGCGTGGACGGCATGGTGAGGCTGTGGGACCTGCGCCGCGGCGGCGGCTGCGCCGCCGCGGCGAGACCGGGGCGTGGCCCCGCGCCGGGCGCCGCAGCGGCGGGTGCCTCGCTGCGCCCCGTGGCCTGCATCTCGTCCCCACCCCTGGGCAGCGGGCTGAAGCAGCACGGCGTGACCTGCCTGGCGCTGCACCCCGACGGCGCGCGCCTGCTGGTCAGCCTGACCGGCGGGCACCACCTGGCCTTCGATGTACTTCGCCCCGGGGCGGGGCCGCGCGCGGTCTACGCCGGGCATGCCGCGGCCTCCTTCTACGTCAAGGCCGGGTTCAGCCCCGACGGCCGCTTCCTGGCCAGCGGCTCCTCCGACCGCCGCGTGCACGTGTGGGAGGTGGACGGCCCGCCCGCGGCGGCCGCCGCGGGCAGACCCGTGCTGCACGCCCCCCTTGCCGCGCTGGAGGGGCACGAAGGCGAGGTCACCGCCGTGGCCTGGTGCCCCACCGACCCCGACCGCCTCGCCTCGGCCGCCGACGACGCGACGGTCAGGGTGTGGGCCCGCCGCCCCCGCGCGCGCGACCCCGAGCCGGCGGCGGAGCGGTGCCCGCGCTCCGCGCGCCAGCTGCTCTCTGGCTTCCTCGGCCCAGCCGCGGCACGCGGCTGGGCCGGCGAGCCCGCCGAGCGCCCCGCGCCCTGCGATGAGGGGCGAACAGGGCCAGCCTCGGACCCAGCCGCCCCCGAGCGCTGCGCCACCACGGCCATCAGCGCCGGCGCGCTGCCGGGGCTGGCCACGCCCGCCACGCCGCGCGGGGCGGGGACGGGGGAGCGCGGCGGGGGCAGCCCGCCGCCCGCGTGGCGGCTGGCCGACTACGCCACCCCCGGCGGCGCGCTGGCGGGGCGGAGCGGCGCGGCGGGGAGCGGGGCCACGGGGAGGAAACGGGCGCGCCAAGCGAGCATCGCGGCCTTCTTCACCTCGCCCCTGCGGAGACCCGTCATCGACCTCACCTGCCAGGCCCCCGGCTGAATTTTTGATGGGTGGCCCATGCTCCATTCTCAACCCTCCCGCCCTTGACAACCCCTTTCCTCCCTCCATAACTACTCATGTTGATGTTGGCTGCCTTCCCTACAGCGGCGTGAGCCAGGGCCGGGCAAACAGAGCTTTGACAGTGTATGCGAGATTCAACGGGCGGTTGAGCTCCAGGAAATGCCGTACAGTCGTGGACATGCTTCCTGGTTCCTTTGTCTGCTTCTTCTTCAGGAGGGCAGCCGGCGCGGCTCAGCGATACTGGCTCTCGCTGCGAAGGTTGTTGGCGATCTCCACCTCCCAGCGGTCGCCGTTGGCCAGCAGCTTCTGCTTATCGTACAGCAACTCCTGTACAGAATTGGCAAGGGGACGGGGGAGCGGTGATGCTGACGCGCAAGGATAGACCACAGCCCTGCAGCCGACGCTCGATTGTGGCCATGGACAGCGACGCCGCGCTCCATCTCCTCGCTCCCTTTCCCGTCCAACCCTCCTCCTGCGCCACCCCCTGTACAACCCCCAACTTCCAACCCCGCCCACCTCGTGGCTCTCGGTGGTGTACTCAAAGTTGGGCCCCTCCACGATGGCGTCCACGGGGCACGCCTCCTGGCAGAAGCCGCAGTAGATACACTTGGTCATGTCGATGTCGTAGCGCGTGGTCCGGCGAGAGCCGTCCTCCCGCTCCTCCGTCTCGATGGTGATGGCCTGGGCGGGGCAGATGGCCTCGCACAGCTTGCAGGCGATGCAGCGCTCCTCGCCGGTGGGGTAGCGGCGCAGCGCGTGCTCGCCGCGGAAGCGGGGGCTGATGGTCGTCTTCTCGAAGGGGTAGTTGATGGTCACCTTGGGCTCGAAGAAGACCTTGAGGGTCATGGCCAGCCCACGCCACAGCTCCGTGAGGAACAGGGTCTGGGAGCTCTCGTCCAGCACGCCTGCCAGGTCACGGGGGGCCTCGCGCTGGCTGGTCACGAACTCTTTGGAGCTCAGGCCGGCAGTCCCTCCAATGCCTGTCCAGAGTTGGAAGAGGTGTGGGCATGGGGTCGAACCGCAGGCACCTGGATCCATACTCAGGGTCCATGACCCCGAGCCAGGATGCGGAAGATATATCATCAATCCCTCCACCAATCGCGCCTCACCGCTCTCGTCCAAGCGCTCGGGGTTGGGGGTAGCAGGCAACCCCACACCACATGAAGCGCTGGCGCTATGGAAGGCGCCCCCGCACCCTGATGCGCATGCAGGAGCGGCCCTTGGGACCAATCGGCTTCCCAACTGCCGCAGCATGGCCAGGTTGTGCGGGAATCGGAACCGGGACCTGCAGAACGCGACCTTCGGCGCTCACGCCAAGACTGGGCCCTCGGCTGGAATCGAGCACCGAATGCCGATCGCCCCTGAATCAGCCAATCCACTGATGCAAAAGAGGTGGAGCGGGTGTCTGTACCTTTTAGCAGGGGTTGGAGGGTCCCTGTGCTATGCCAAATTGCTTGACGAGGGTAGTACCAGTCTTCGCCACGGTACCCACACCACATGTCTCCGATAACATCTGCCTTTTGAGCCCCGGCGGGGGCTGCTTGCGACATCATTGAGGAGGTTGATTCCAAAATAATGAGTTGAGCCACTGCTACAGTGACCTGAGATGGCTTCGATCGCCGTGTCTGCGAGCCCAGGTTGGGCCCCCACACAGTCGCTGTGGTTTCGAGCACCGCGACCACGGGCTCCCTTCGTCCCGCATGCCGCCTCCAGGCTGCCATTCCGACGCGTGAGCTCTGTACGAGCTCAAGTCGCAGAAAGCATTTCCCACGGGCAGTCGGATGTGGGGGCGCCTGCGGCCCCGACCTTCACCGTGCAGCTCGTCAAGTACCTGGGCACCAAGTACAGCCTGGCCTCCATCCACAACGTGCGGACCAAGGCCAGGGCGATAGTGGCCCTCATGAAGGAGATGGGGCTATCGGAGCCCTTTACAATGGAGCAGCACATCTACCCCCAGAAGGAGGTGCGTTGGCTGCCGGTGGGTGGGGAGGGTCGTTTGTTGTCCGCTGGACAGTTGTCCCTCCTGTGCCCCCCTTCCTGGTGCATGTCCTCCATGGCCCCGCCCTCTCCAAATTTCGCAGCTCCTGGACTCGATTCACGACGGGCTGGCGGTGGCCGTGCTGTCTCGCTACCCTCGCGAGTTCTTCCACCCCGACGCAATGGACACCTGGCACGTCTTCCTCGCCTTTCTACACTCCCTCAACTTCTCGCCCGCCATGGTGAGCAGGGCCTGCAGTCGCCATGCATCCCTCTCTGCCTCTGTTTTGGCCGACTTGTGGGCCCTCCCTCCGCCCTGTGCCTGCCATGGCCTGCCCTGCCTCCCACCAACTCCGGAGTCGATTGATCAGGGCCGCTGGCATGCAAGTCAGGAAGTCTGTCTGGAGGCGTCGGACCATGCCACCACAGGCCCCCTGCGCGCGATCCCCAAACCTCCGACCACTCCCAACCATGCCCAACCACACCCCACCACACCCAACCCTACCCCACCCCACAGATTGAGAAGTTGGTGCACGGCAAGCCCAAGCTGCTGGCGCACACGGTGCGCAACCCCGACGCCGCACGCTGCCTGTTCCGGTGGCTGCGCTCGCTGGGCTGCGACGCGCCCAGCATCGTGAAGATCGTCATGCGCTTCCCCAACGTGCTCAAGCTGGACGTGGAGGAGGTGCTGAAGCCACGCTTCGCCGCCCTGCTTTCCTTGGAAGTGTCGCACGACCGCGCGGTGCAGGGCATCGTGCGCGCGCCCACCATCCTGGGCGTGGAGCCGGAGTACATGCAGGGCCGGATCGAGTACCTACGCGGGTGAGCGAGGGGTGTGTGTGTGTGTGTTGGTGGGGGGTGGGGTTGTATGGAGGGAGATGGTGAGGCTGATGAGGGGGGACACGGGTGGAGGTGGCGGCTGACTGATAGGATGCCGGGCTTGGCCGTCGACATCCGGAGTCCACCACCGCCGCCGCCACCACTACCCTCTCATGGCTTCACCTTGCCTTCCTATTGGCCCCATGCCCAACCCTCCCCCAACCCCTTCTAGGTTGGGCCTGACCTCGGTGGAGATCGGGCACCTGGTGTCCCTGGCCCCCATGACCCTGCTGGCCGGGGTAGAATCCAAGCTGGCCCCCCTGGCCAAGTTTCTGCAGGAGGACCTGGGGTGCACCCCTGAGGTGATGCTGACGGTGCTGGCGCGCGGCCGGCTGGCGCACTTCTCCGTCTCGCACCTGGACGCGTGCGTGCGGGGGTGGGAGGAGCTGGGCTACACCCGCCCCGAGCTCTGCCTCATCCTCACGCGCTACACCAACTTCCTGAGGCTCTCCCCACGCGGACCCCACACCCGCACCAAGCTGGCCTTCCTGGAGTCGGCGGAGGGGCTGGGGCGCAGCCGCGCCGCGCTGGTGCACTACCCGCAGTACCTGTCCTACAGCCTGGAGCGGCGCATCGGCCCCCGCGCCGCCGTCATGCGCAGCGTCAAGGGCCGCGCCATCACGCTGTCGGAGCTGGGGCCCGCCGACGCCGTCTTCTGCAAGAAGCTGGGCATCAGCCAAGCGCAGCTGGACGCGGCCGTGGAGGGCTGGGCCCTGTCGCCGGAGGGGTGAGGGAGGTGATGTGTGAGGGGAGGGGGGGGGGCGGAAGGGGGGGTCTTGCAACAAGGCTGCTGAGGTGACCCATGGCTGCTGTCGCCTCGCAGTGTGGAAGGGGCCACTGTTGTTCGCCGTGGAGAGTTGTTGCCTGGAGGGGTCTGACGCCTGCCGGCACGGGGCACAGCGACGGTGGATCTGCGCTGATCGACAGGCAGCGGCACCGAGGCCGGGAGTACCTTGAGCAAGTAAACATACGCACACCGACACTCACCCGCCCGCCTTCCCACTCCAACCACAAATGCACAGGTCCAAGTGGATGGACATGCTGCAGGGCAGGACGCAGCCGCCGCCACTGCCGCCCCTGCTGCGGCTGGATGACAAGCTGGAGCGACCGGGCGAGGGGCTGGCCGGCGCCATGGACCGGCTGAGTCTCAGCGCGCCCTGAGGGCAATGCCCAATTCTTTGTTCCTCCCCTCTCAGCACCCCCATCTCACATGTGACCGCGCTGCCTCGAGTCGGCCCGACTTGTCTGTACGTAATATAGCATTGGGTGCTGCATGGGGCCCGTGGAGGGGCAGGATGGAGTTGCGGTCTGCAGGCAAGTAGAGCCCCCGGCCGTCACGTGTGCAAGCGACTTGAACAGGAAAACACGAACGTCCAGCGCATCCTGGGGTCACAGGCTGGACAGCAGCTTCGCGGCGGCTGCCTCCCCAGACCGCATGGCGCCGTGCGTGGTCCCAAAGTACTCCACGGCGCAGGCCTCCCCCGCCAGAACCAGGGTGGGGCGGGCAACGCCCGGCGGCGTCAGCGCCTCGCCCAGCACCGCCCCGGCATCGGCCGCCGCGCTGGGGCCCGGGTAGCTGTAGCTGCCGCGGAAGAGGGGGTCAGAGCCCCAGGCGGACCGGTGCAGGCGCACACGCCGCCAGCTGGCGCCAGCAGGGAGCACTGCGCCGGGGAAAGCGCGGAAGACGGCACGCAGCGTGCCCAACACTTCCTCGTCGGAGGCGGCCTCGACGGCGCGGGCCGCCTCGCCCGCCAGCCACACCACGCCCACGGGTCGGGGCGACGCGCCAGGCTCCTGGGCCCCCTGCTTGACCTCCGCGCCTCCGAAACCGATGGAGAAGACCCCCCGCGCCCAGTCCGGGAGGGCGGAGTCGGCTGAAGCCGTCGAGGCCGGGTCCCAGAGCAGGGCGTAGGTGACCACGTCTGCGCCGTTGCCCAAGTCGGGGGCTGCTGCGGGTGCGGCGCCATCTTCCCGGTCAAGAGCGCTGTCCTCTGCATCATAGAACTCCAGGAACAGCTTGTCCACAGTCCCCATCCTGAGCTGGGCCATGGCTTTGCGGGTTCTGGCCGGCAGCCCCGGCTGGAACAGGGTCTCATGCTGTGCCTGAGCAGGAGTGGGGCATTGATGAGTACTGCAGGGTGTGCTGACACACGGTCACTCAGGCTGAACATGCCTTCCCAAGACACCTGTGGTGGTGATTCAGGCTGTGCAGGCCGGGTCTGACCCAGGGCCATTGATGTACAGCACGGTCGGGTGCAGCGTGGATCCGCTCGGCCACGCTGCAGCCACCACTTTCCAGTTGCCTTCATACCCCCCCCTCCCCCTCGAGCACCTTGAGTACGCCCAGGGAGACGGTGACGATGGCGGCGGCGGCAGCGTGGCGCGATCCGTCCTCGCAGGTGGCACAGGCCCCACCCTCCGCGCCCCAGTCCAGGCCAGTCACCCGCCGGTGCAGGCGCACGTCGAGGCCCTCCGCCATCGCCTCGGCCACCGCCTGGAAGCCGCCGGGGATGGGGGCGTTGGTGTTCTGAACCGCAGCGGCGTACCTGGCGGCGGCCGTCGCCGAGAGATCCCCGCTGCAGTCTGTGCCGTCGATGGCGCGCTGCAGGGACTCGCGCCACGCCCAGACCCTGCGCGCCAGGTCAGCGTGCTGGGCCACCTTCTGTCCTGATGACAGCTGCAGGAGAGGGCGCGGAGGTGCAGCGGTGGGGGTGGATGGACACGGGGCAGCTATACCTGGGAGACGGGGGACGTCCATTACAGCTGCGATGCTAGGCTGCTCCCTGGCTTATGGACGCCAGGCCTGACCATGTCTCCAGGCATCGGCAATCAAGGGGTCCAGACACTCACAAAGCACAGATGTGCAGACTCCGTATCCCTCCAATCCCCGATCTGTTGATCCCAACCTAAAGGGTCACCTTATCCCAGGCAGCCTGCAGGACATCACCCAGGGTCGCACCCTCCTCGGCTCCACCAGCCGCATCTAAGCCCTCTTCAAAGGCGGCGATGCTGTGCATGATACAGGCCGCCTGCTCCTGGGTCAGCAGCCCGCTGGCCCCCTGCACGAGGAAGTGGGAGTCCTCCCACACCGACAACCGGGGCCGGGCCCCCAGCAGCTGAGCACGCTGCGCGGCGCGCAGCACTGGGTTGGGGCCCTCGCCGCCGCCCAGCTCCAGCCCGTGGATCCAGGTGGCCCCCATCTCCAGCGCCAGGCCCCGATCCAGGCGGAGGGTGCGCGCCCTGCCCCCGACGTGCGACCCGGCCTCGAGCAGGATGACGGGGGACATCCCTGCCCGCCTCAGCGTCTGGGCCGCCGCGAGCCCCGCGAAGCCGGCCCCGACGATCAACACCCCTGACATGGCGGAAACAGCAGGGGCGGGAGAGATCCTACTTTTTTCGAGTGGATATCCAAGATTCAGAACTGATCACCCACCTGCGGGGGTGCAGGGCGTCATACATCGATGGCTGCTCAGCAGCCCACACACCACCCACACAAAGCGATGACTTAATGTGTGGCATGCGAAACATGAATGCATCAATTACACTCGATAGCATCATTTCCCTTCAACCCTTGCCTTTTTGCAACTATAGGGTTTTGTCCATGATCTTGCATGGCATGGCACAGGCCAGCTCCACAAGGAGGAAAAGTAACGATCCAGGGACCTTGATCAAGAGGAATGTGCAAGGGTATACCTGCGGAGAGCAAAAATGAAGTACTGTAACGACATCAGAGTCCGGTGAGGGGGGTTGCGAAATTGGCCTTGGGTTTGGGGGGGCCCTGGGGATACGAAAAGCTTGAAAAATGGTGGTTAGAGCAAGGAGGTCAATCAGTGTGGCATCCTCGACAAGGGAGGTCCATGGTGCGGCGCGACCCGTCAGATGATGATAGAAATCCGGCTACAAAGAGGTGTACAGTGGCAAAGGTGCTTCACTCTCCAATCCAAGGTCCTGTGATCGGATCACTCCTGATCCGGGCAGTAGAGGCGGCGGAGGAGGGCCACTGCTTCCTGGGCGAGAGGCCGATCCGATGGCTTCCTCTCCCGGCACTGCTCCATGAATGCTGCAACCTCAGCAGGGCACTCCTCTGGGGTCCTGCAGGGGAGCGCCAGTTGCAAACTTGGTTTTAGTGCAGTGATCATGCGGGCGCCCGTTAAAGCATACGGCAAGAATAGGCGTCGCTAGATTTGAAGGACATGCTAAACAGCCGCGTCTGCTCGAGTCGGGTGTAAAGGCTCGCACAAGAAGGGTGCACACAGCCGGCACACTTGACAGCGCGGCAGCAGCGGGGTATCAGATGCCCGTGCCTTACCTGACTTCGCGGGTGTGTCCCCTGACAGGCACCTCCCCCGTGATCAGCTCCCACAGCACGACGCCTGGCATGTGGAGGGTGGTTGACGTTTGATACAAGATGCTGCGCCCCTTGTTCAAAGTCCAGGAGTGCGGCCACCTTGCTTGCACACTACCCTGGTTATCCACGCAGACCATCGCTGCTCACCGTAGCTGTACATGTCTGACTGGACCGTGCTGGGCTCGCCCAGGATGGCCTCCGGCGCACACCACTGGAAGGAGCCTCCCTCCGCTGCAGTATGGTGTGCAGGGGTTGAAGGTGAATGGAGAGGTGGCGATGGGGGCGGCCTGGTGGAAACCAGCTCAAGCGCTGACCCATGACCCAGACTTGCTGCAGGGTAAACACACTCCCCGGCCCCTGCATTCCATTCCGAGGTAAGCCATGAGCATGCGCTGCCACCCTCTCCAACACGTCTCTGTATCATGATCATTACGGAATGCGTCCACTCCTCCCAACCCCCCCCTCACATCCCGGACTCACCAGATCTAGAGGGCAGGTAGGACCGGGAGTCGGGGATGATGCGGGCCAGGCCGACATCGCTGATCTTGGCCCGCCCCTCCCAGTCCAGCAGGATGTTGGAGCTCTTCAGGTCGTTGTGCACGATGCGGCGGGTGGAGAGGTATGCCAGGCCCGAGGCGATGTCCATGGCCAGGCGCCAGCCGCGCTCCGCCCAGGCCACCTCGCCGCGACGCAGAGCGTGCCAGAGGTCCCCACCCATCATGCGCTCAGTGACGACCATGATCTGACCCCGGGGTGGGTCGCTGACCACGCCGATGAAGTTGACGATGAAGCGCGAGCGGCAGCGCCGCAGCACCGCCACCTCCTCCTCCAGCCGGGTCTGCACGCGAAGGGGTGGGTGGAAGCGGGGGTCATCGAGGTGCTTCTTGGCAGATGGGGTGGGGGAGGAGGGCATGGTTGGAGCAAAGAAGGTCGCCGCTGGATTGGATCGGGGTTCGGCCCACGATCGGCGGGGCAGGCATTCGAATGCCACCCTTGGCAACAGTACAGTGAGTGTATTCGCTGCCTGGTCTGCAGCCCAGGGATCCTGTGCACCCTCGGCCCTGCCTGCGCTCCCTTCACAACACCACAGTGTTCAAACTGCCTCCAGTCTGCTGAGCCTCGCGCACTCAGCACCCTCTCTCACAAAACCTACCAGGCTCATCTGGAGGTCTGAGCCGCCCTTCAGAGCCTCAACGCACTTGATGGCCACCTGCTCGTGTTGCGCGGTCCGCCCAGCATACACCTTGCCAAATCGTCCCTCCCCCAGGGTCACCAGCTCCCCGGAGGCGCGGTCGAACGTTAGGCTGGACGCCGGCAGCAAACCCAGGCTGAAGGCGGAGGCCCCAGAGGGGGTGCTCAGCAGCGTCCCCGAGCTGGACAGCGACTGCTTGTCGCAGGAGGCTGCGAGTGGGGACAACGGAGGGTAGAACTGGTGTGAGAGGCAAGGGCCTCCTGGGTGGGGAGCGGAGGTCGCAACGGTCTGCGGCGCACACAGGCGGCAGAGCCCCTCCGCGTACCATGGCCCCGCTCGCGCACAACGAGAGGCGCGAGGCACTGCCTGCGCTCAAGTGAGCGTGGACCTGATCCCAAAGCGGCCCACAAAAGCCCCCAGTCCGCCCTTTCCACCTCCCCCAAGCCCACTGCTCACTCAAGGCATCGCTGTGGTCGGTCAGGCCGCCCTTTGCAGAAGCGGCATCGCCCCATGCCTCATCACGCGCGGCGGGCGCCCTCCCCCGTCCGCGGCGTCGGATCAGGAAGACAGCAAGGAGCGCGAGGGCGGCCGCGCCCGCCACGCTGCCGATCACGATGCCGGCGATGGCGCCCGCGCTGAGCGAGGAGCCGCCGGAGGAAGAGTCGTCCGCCGGCATTTGCACGCTCTGCTCCACCAGCGTCCCCTCCGGCTCGCCTCGGTGGGAGCTCAGGACGGCGACCGTGGGGGCCCCGCCGCCGCAGCCGGGCCCGACGTTGAACAGGGCGGCCTGGTCCACCGCCGGCACAGGGTCCAGGGTGGGGCTGGGGGGGATGTCTGCCGCGCTTTCCCACATGCGCAGCGTGTCGTTCAGCAGGATGACGGTGCTGAAGCAGGCGGTGGTGAGGAAGGTGCCGGCGACGGGGGGCAGGTCTGGCCTGGCCGGGATGCTGATCAGCACCTGGAGGGGTTGTTTTGTGGTGGAATGGTAATGGTTCGGGGAGGGCGACAGCATTGACCTGCACAACACTTGATATTCCGAGGGGGGATTACACAGGAATCTAGAAGGAAGCTGGCGCCAGTGCCACACACTCTGGCTATTTGCTCCCCCCTCGTGCCATCCATCCACTGCTGATGAAGAATTCAGACACCCACCTGGTCGCCGCCGGGGCCCGGCTCAAAGTCTAGGGAGAGGTCCTCGCCCAGCAGCATGCCCGCCTGGGTGTTCACACGGCCGGCCTCCACCAAACCCTCCGGGCAGTAACCGCCTGCGATGGTGTGAGGAATATGTGTGTGGCTGACTGAATCCTGGGGGCAGTCCCTCTTTACTCCGGTCCAAGGCCGCCCACTGTCATCCTCGATTTAGTTCTCATCAGCGCTCCACTGAGCCCACTTCCTGCCCCAAGCTGCAACTGATGGTGACGCAGCGCCTGTCCAACACCCCCAATGCACCCCACCCCAGGCCCCACCTGGCAGCGTGTAGGAGCCGGCAAGGGTGTACACCTTGCGGGGCTCGTCTGCCGCAATCTCCCCGAACTGGGAGGTCAGCTTGCCCATGCCGTCCGGCCCCGGGATGAGGAAGGTGATGTTGGACATGGCACTGGAGTAGAAGAACTTGCTGGGCAGGCTGGGCCAGGTGCCGGAGTAGAAGGCCTGGAAGAGGAAGTATAGCAGGTAGGCGCCCCCCGGATCGGTCAGCGACAGCTCCCCCGGGGTGTGGTACATCGCCGACCAGATGTTGGACCAGCACAGGTTCTGAGGAGAGGGTACGACAGAGGGGGATGTGAGGGCAGGCTACACTGGAATTGAGGCGATTGCCCAGCTTTGCAGGGTGCTGGCTGTGCAGAGCCTCAGCAGTAAGCACTGTCCGTTTCAAACCAACCATACTACCCCCGGACACGCCACGTGGACATCCAGGTGCGCTCCGGAGTCCATCGCCTCAGGGCAGCGCGGGAGACGTCCCCCCTCTCCCACCCTAACCCCGATCCACCTTCCCCAACCTTGAGGGGCAGCAGGTCGTTCAGGTTGGTGATGGGGGTCTTGTCCGGCACCATGGGGCCCGGGATAATGCGGATGCGCGCGCCGGAGCAGCTCTCAAAGGTTTCCAGCACCGGCATCGCCTGCTCCCCGCCCACGTCCACCGAGGCCGGGAGCGTGACGGTGGGCTCGCTGCCGTTCAGCGCGGTCTCCAGCACCCACTCCCCGCGCTCGGCCTGGGCGAGGCCGAGGGCCGTGTCCCACACCTCCCGCCCGTCCTCCGTCGCGTTGGGCTGCGCCCGCAGCGTCCAGTGCAGCAGCAGCAGGCCGACGTACTCGGGGGAGGTCAGGCTGCCGCGCCAGTATGTGTCCTCCTGCCCACACTCGATCGCATCTGCACCGAAGCAGAGGAGGAGAAGGAATGGGGGGGGGCGTGTGGGGTGAGTGCGCCCTGCAGGGGCTGCGAGACCACCAGCCCGTAGCCCGCGGATAGGTGGGGTCCGGGAGGGGCACGTTTCCCTGTTTATATGCGATATTTTGGTCAAAATGAACCTAATGGAGTGGAAATCGGTGATTTCCGGGGCTGCTTGCCCCCCCGACTCACTGCTGCAGCTGAGGAGCGACTCGTCCAGGGGGACGTAGAGGGTGACCGCCAGATCCTCGCGCTCCAGCAGCGTGTTCAGGCCCACGCCCTGCAGCGCCATTCTCCACACCGTGATGTTGTGAACCTCCGCAGCAGCGAGCAGCGTGGCCCAGGGGGAGCCCGGAGTGCACGCCGGGCCATCCTCGGGCTGGGCCCCGTTGGGGCTCTCCTGGGCCTGCACAGGGGTGCGTCCGGATAAGGGGGGGGGTGGACGCAGTACAATCAGGGAATTATGCGTTTATCACCTATATCCGCCAAACAGAATCAGGACCTACCACGGCGCAGACCGGGAGGTGGTGAAACAGGTGGAGGGTCACCAGCAGCGCGGTGAGTCCCTGTCGGCCCTGCGGGACGCCCATGATCTCTCCACGCCGATTCAGGGGGGCATGTACGACCTTCCGTGTGCACTCCTCAGCAATTACAACTCCACTGGGACCCGGGTCTGCGAAAGATGGTACGGAAGGACGAGCTTCATACTGCGGCTTATGGGGCGAATCTGTTACGGGAAGAAATCACCATGCTAGGGGCCGTTTCCCAAGACCCATGGACCCGATCACGCACCTCCGTACCACTGCATGCGCGAGCCCTGAATGGACGACCCATGCGAGCATTGGACCCTGATAGGCCCTCGCGTCTCTCACCTGGCGGCCAATTGCACTAGCGCTCAAGATCCCCTCTGGAGAACGCCCGTGCGCGCATGTACGACACGTCGAGATCGGGGGAAAGGATCCCGAACTCCATGCTTACAGAAACAGTATGTTTCCAGTGAAAAATACCTTGAGATTCAATTGGCTCACATCCTTGAATTTCTCCAGTTGGTCGCCCCGACGTCAGTGCCCACCATGGATGGAGGATATAATGGAGACCACCTGCGCCGCAGTGGGTCTTTCCTCCGGGTGGCGCTCCCAGCAGTGGTCCAGCAGGTCAGCAATCTCCTCGGGGCACTCCTCGGGGGTTCTATAGGAGGATGGAGCTGATCAAATTGTAACTGAGGATGTCTGGATGCCCAGTGCGAGACCAATCCGTACCGACCCTCACTCCTAGGGTTTTACCTCACGGCTCTCATGGCTCCCCGGATAGGTGTGGCCCCAGTGATGAGCTCCCACATCACCACTCCTGTGTTGCAAGCATAGAATCAGGATCAAGCTACCAAAAGTCTCATCTTTCTGGGAGATTAGAGTAGAGCTGCGGCCCGAACGCCCCTCATCGCCTCCCTCACCCAAGCTGAATATGTCGGCTTGTGGCGTGCACGGCAGTCCCAGAATCGTTTCAGGAGCACACCAGTGGAACGAACCTCCGCCCGCTGTTCGTAGGTAGGAGATTGGTTGATACAAAGTGAGATGGATGGCGGAGAGCAGCTCATCATCTTTCCGACAATCCCAACTCCAGATCAGGGCCCCTCTACCCAGTCACACCACAGGCAAGGACTGGCATTGCAACCGGGTGCAGGCCATTCCGACACGGTGAAGCAACCCACAACAATACCTTCGGCTCACACACTGGGCGAACAACTGCTCAACCCTCCTTCCCGCAGAAATCTCAAGGTCTGTCACGCCACTCACCTATCATAACACCTTGATATGATTTCGATCCGTACAACATTTTGGCCAGGCCCACGTCACTGATCTTGGCCCGCCCCTCGCCGTCCAGCAGCACGTTGGAGCTCTTCAGGTCATTGTGCACGATGCTGCGGGAATGTTATGTCGAGGGTGTGGGGATGCTGTGATTCTGGAGTAGTGCTTGACATCGCAAAAGCGCAGTACAGGGAACTTCACCGCCTGGCTAATGCCACGCTCACATCCTACACAACCAACAAGCAGGAAGAACATACCAGATTCACGCTCCACATCCACAAAGAGAAGGCCTGTACCCTGGTCAGCAACATACCGTTTGGATGCCAGGTATACGAGGCCTTGCGCGATGTTGAGTGCAATCTCCCAGCCACCGTCGTTCCAGGTGATGCGTTGCCTTCGGATGATGCTAAAGAGGTTGCCGCCAGCCATGCGTTGTGTGAGGAGGTACAGCTCCCCAGCACCGGAGTCGACAGCCATGCCCACAAAGGACACCACATACGCCGACCGGCAGTGCTTGAGGATGCGTGCCTCCTCTGCCAGACTCTCCTCGGATGCCAGCTGCAGCGGGGCGCCTGCAAAGGGAACTTGCACACACTTGATGGCCACAGGCTCGCCGTTCATGAGGTGGCCAGCAAACACCTGGAGAACGATGAGAATTTTGGGTGGTGAGGGCGTCGGGTGTGCATCGTGACCAATTTACCGACGGCCATGGCTATCTTCCTGACATTTCATCCATTGTATACTGCACCGCAGCTGAGTGAGATGATTTGGAGCAGTAAAACCGTGTGCTCCCACTTGCAAAAGGGGGACAGGCTGCATCAAGCCTTGAATGCACACTGAACTTATATTCACAATCACCTCTCCGAATCGGCCAGCACCAAGCATCAGCCTTTCGTTGGTAACGTTGTCGAGGTCAAATGTAAAGTCGCTGGGCTGCATGATCCCATTCTCAAAGTCGGTGCAGCTGAAGACACGCCTCTGGGAGTCTGGCGGGCTGATGCAAACCTGCTGGCTGGTGTCGCCTGTAAAAGAGTGTACCGGGAGGGCCTAGATGAGCAGGTGTGTCAGCAGCAACCCCTTTCCAAATGAGCGCCCATATCCTCATGTGCACACCGACAGTAAGCACTGAGGGCTCAAAGCCACACAGCCCCCACCTTTACTGCCAGAATCTGCAGTGTGGTCTCCTTGCCGACCCCTGGATGTCAGTGATGCCCACCACCCCACGGGGACCCACTGCAGGGGAGGCGCGGGATGGCATGGACCTGTTGAGGCACGGCCAGGGGAGTAAAGTAGCAGGTAGCCCTGGAGGACTGTCCAGGAATGTCAAATGCTCACCCGTCGAGCCTTCTCACTCCTCCCAGCCAAGACCAGCCCCGCAGCCAGGGCAAGCGACAGGGCAACGCTGGCGAGGACAATGCCCACAATGGCTCCGGCACTCAGGCCGCCGCTCCCCGTCAAGGCGCTGTCCCCAGCAAGCTCCTCCAGGCCACTGTACCTCTATACACGAGGCATCAAACAGGTTAGTGCGAGGTGCCAAGGAAGAACTCACGCAGAGGTTGCAAGGCAGCCTTACGCGGCACATCAGATCAGGTACTGGCATGCACAGCACCACCCATCCCAACCCCAAGCCACTCACCCCCACGATGGCATCGCTGGCCCCGCAAGTCGGATCGACGCTGAAGAGGAGGTCCTCATTTACACGTGGGAAATGGGCGGGCTCCGACGGTGGAATGTCTTGCCACCTGTCCCACAGGGGGAGCAGGCCCCCCAGCGCATATATGGTGCTGTAGCAGGAGGTCGTGAGGAACTTGGCAGGGACCACTCTGTCTGGATGCATCGATGTGCGGATCTCCACCTGCAAATTGGACATGGTGAGGACATGGAAGCTTCGTAAAGAACTTCATCACCACAGACTCTGACAGCAAGCAGCTGCACTGGCAATGAGAGTGCTCATTCGACGTTCAAGCGCAGCCCTCCACGGCCTGAGGGATAAGTAAAGCCATTGCAAATACACACAGTGTAACACCATTCCACCATGCATGTTCATGGGCATGCCAGCTCCCCCTCCTGGTGCCCTCGCAGCGTACCTCATTCGGCCCTTTCCCAGGTTGTATGAGCAACGAAAGGTTTTGACCCAGGTATGACGCAGCCAGGGTCGGTATCCAGCGCGGCTCTTTCAAGCTCTCTATACAGTATCCTCCTACAGAGAGGGAAGGGTTCCGTCAGACATCAGCACACAACCCATCTGATCCACACAATATCCTGAGGGCGAGTCCGGGGATCCACCTGGGATGATGTAGTGTGCTAGGAAGGTATGGGCCCTCCCATAATCTCCAGACGGTATCTCCTCTGCATATACCAGAGGGGGGGAGGGGGGTCCCGTAAACTTGCCCTTTCAATCAGTGCATGTTCTCCCAGGCAAGGTGGCCCAAGGGAACCCCCCCTTGTATCTCCCCACCCCTTCGACTCACCAAAGGCGCCTTGGAGCTGGGCGAGGACGTGTGCATCTGGGATAAAGAAGGTGACGTTTGTTGAGGGCTGTGCCAGGTCTAGGTTGACGTACAGCCCTGGATATTTGCCAGTGAAGAAAGACATGAAGGAAAAGTACTTGAAGTATAGACCATTGGGGTTGTTAACAGAGACTTGGCCGGGCAGCTGAAACCCAGCGCTCCAAATATTCCTCCAGCAGAAATCCTGCAAAGGGGGTAAAAGGAATTGCAGCAGTCAACAACCCCAAGGCAATGCTGCTGACTGAAGAGACACGCTTCAAGGTGCTCCAGGACCCAATTTCCTTGGATGCCCGACTCATGACAAGAGTGTTGCCAGAGTTGCACTCCACAGCATCAAATTGTTCCATGTTTGATACCTGAAGCCCCGGGACACTGGTGGCATTGACACTGGGGAAGTCAGGGGGTACAATAGGTTGTCTTATAACATGAATGGTAGTGCCTCCACAGGTGGCATAGCTGGCCACCACGCCTGATGGGAGGGTGACTGCGTTACCCTGGACATCGATCACCGACACTGATGCCTGCACAGGCATTGTGAGATGGCAACATGGATGAAACTTGCATGTTGTAACTTTACTCTTGTGCCACTGCATTCTATCAAGGTGCCCCATGGTGAGCGCCCCAAATGTATCCATGCCTTACTCACCCAGGCCACACCTTCATGAGTCCATGAGACTCGTGTAGCAGTACTTGCCCAACATGAACCGGACTCCCACCCGAAACCATGAAACCTCGCTCACCACACTGCTGTTCGAGATCTGAGCCGCCAATTTCCAGCCGTTATCAGCGGAGGTGTTCCCCAACACGGCCGCGAGCAAGGTGTTTGCCACATGCGTGTCTCCATTGGACGTTGTCGAGTTCATGTCGGGTGCAAACTCCCCGACGGTCCAGTGCAGAAGGAGAAGACCAAAGTAGGTGGCCGACGTCAGCTGCCCCCTCCAGTATGTATCTACCTGTCCACATTCGTCTGAATTGAAAGGCCAGAACTTGTACTTCACTCGTCGTGAAGTCCCCATTCGAATGCTGCGTCTCAGTACTTTTCATCTCTTCGATCGAGTAGCTCACGCAGCTGCGGGCAGGAGTACCACACCAAAAACCCTACCCCCTCACCCGCGCTCTTGCACGCCAGCATGGAGTCGTCCAGGGGGATGAGAATCGTAGACGGTGTGGTGTTTCCCTCCATATTTATATTCAGTCCAGTCGCGTGAAGAGCGTATTCCCACATGGTGATGGAGTGCAGGGTGCCAACGTGTCGGACGGCCTCCCATGTCGACCCAGGCACACAGGGCGCTCTACGCGCGGTCTTACCCTGCGGGCAGGGAGCAGTATTTATGAGTTACGAAGAAACACTGTCTCCCGCTTCCATTCACCATCCATTCCACTTGCCTGCTGGAGTGATCGGGCGTGAACGAGCGGCACGCCGCAAGCGAGCCCCACGATCGCCAATCCGCTGAGCAACATGGGAAACCGCATCCGGTCTCCTGAATTTCGGCGAGGCCTTTGGCCAAAAGGTTTACACAGAGGCTTCTGAGGAAATTTCCAGTCATGAAGTATATCGTAATCGGAGTTGGGACTATACAGTGGGAGGGGAATCTGCATGAAGCTACCCCCCCTAATGGATACATTGAGCAATGGCGCCTGCCGCTTCAAGCACAGGTATGGAGGATCAAATTATAAAGAGCGTGGGCTCCTCTCATACCCATTAATTCTCTTCTTGAATCTTGTTTTCGAGTATTCGAGCAGTGATTATTGTTCTTATACGCTGTGTGCGCTTGCTCGATACTCGTCGCCGGAGGAGGAGAGCCGCAGAAAAGTAATGTGGTAGAGGTCGAGAGCACATGCATAGGGTGTCAGTGAGATGGACATTACAGGTTGAATTCATCATCAGGGAGGTGAGGACTGAGTCTTGGCGTGGAGTTGGCAGGATATAGGCTGGACATACCGCCGCTGCCGGGGTCACATTTGAGCAGCACATTCACGAACAGACTGCGCATTTGGTGCCCCACCGAAAGATGTCTGCGTATTTACTTCAAGCCCCGAGAGCATATTGATCAGACCCATGCTCCTTGAGAAGGGATTCGACCACTTGCGTGGCTGTGGGTCTGTCATCAGGCTTGCGCTCCCAGCAAGACTCCACCAGATGTGCAATGTTGGGGGGACATTCATCTGGTGACCTGTCACATGGTAACGGATGGTCGAGATTTCTTGCGAATATGAGTTAGCTACCCAGACGGGCTTTGGCAGAGAGCAGCGAGTCGCATCAGCGCAGAACGCCTCACCGGAGAAGACGCATGCCTCCACGGATCGGTGACTCCCCAGTGGCGAGCTCCCACATGACCACCCCTGCACCGTGGACAGGAATTGAGCGTAACTGTGCTGGACGGACCAAGCTCTGCAGCACAAAGGCAGAGCGGCTGCTGGCCCTGCCTTGGTCGGCCCGACTCACCCAGGCTAAATATGTCGGCCTGTGGAGTGCATGGCAGCCCTAGAATTGTCTCGGGAGCACACCAATGGAAGGAACCTCCGCCGGCTGTTGGGTGTGAGGGGGGACCCCATTTGGAAGCTGGAATGCAGCTCTTGTGCAGGATCCAAGGCGCACGACCTGGCTCTGTAACCACTTTTGAATGTTTGCAATTCCCTGCCCAGGACTTCCAGCATGCCTTGCATCAGGCTTCCACTCACCTGTTATAACACCCGGGTATGATTTGGATCCGGGCAACATCTTGGCCAGGCCCACGTCACTAATCTTGGCCCTCCCCTCGCCATCCAGCAGCACATTCGAGCTCTTCAGGTCATTGTGCACGATGCTTCAGAGGGAGCGGCAAGCGAGGCATGTAGGATGGTTGGTTGTCACGCTGGGATTGGCCAGCAGTACGATGCGCGACTCCATTTTTGCAGGTGGTGTTGGGATATACCACTGACACCAAAGGTCACACCTCTACATCACACGGACCGGGTGGCGCTGCCCTGCCAGCCACTCACCGTTTGGATGCCAGGTACACCAGGCCTCGTGCAATGTCCAGAGCTATGCGCCAGCCTCCATCCTTCCAGGCAACACGCCGTTTTCGAATTGCGCCATGGAGGTCGCCACCGACCATGCGTTGCGTGAGGAGGTACAGCTCCTTGGCATCGCTGTCTACCGCCATCCCCATAAAAGGGACGACATATGCCGAACGACAGTGCTTCAGAATGCGCGCCTCTTCAGCCAAGCACCTCTCTGGGGCCAGTTGCAGCGGTGCACCTGGCGAAGGGCCCCAAACACACTTGATGGCCACAGGCTCGCCATTCAACAGCCGGCCAGCATACACCTGGCGTGGAAGTTTGGGTGAGGTAGCTGAGGAGTCATGATTCGCTGTCCCTGCATTCCTGCTGCTTCTCAGGGTAGGTGGCTGTGCTTCAAAGCACAAGGTAGAGGGCACATCGTGCAAAGTGTAACTTGCTTGAGTATCACAATTAAAGAAAGCATGATAAGATTTAGAAATGGGTCACATGAGGAAGCAATGACCCACCTGGCCATATCTTCCAGAGCCTAAACCCACTCTCTCATGGGTCTCAGGTGCTAAATCGAATGAAAAGTCGCTGGGCTGCATGATCCCATTCTCAAAGTCTCTGTAAGTGAAGACGCGCCGCGACGAGGCTTGCAGACTGTTACATGCCTGCCGGCTTGTGTCACCTGCGTCAGTATTGCTTGTTATTGATTTTTATTGTATGATATGCAACATGGCAGCTGCGTCTCACACCTGCTCCAATCAATCATCACTGCACACCTGCTGACACAGAGAGCACCTGCAAGGTTGCCCTACCTTTGCTGCTGGTGTTGGCGGGACGCTCTGCTCCCTGTTCACCATAATCACGTGGTCTGAACCAGACTTTATGGAACAGCTGCAATGATGTAAGAGGGAGAGTCCCTCTATCAGAATTGGGATGCCTCTCTGGCCCAATGTGCAACCAAGCTCTTTCCGTGGAAGTTTGTCACTCACCTGCTGCGCATTGGCATGCCTTCCAACCAACAACAGCCCATAAGCCAGGGCAAGAGCTGCAGCCAGGCTGCCCATAATAATGCCCACAATGGCACCAGCGCTCAGGCCAGTGCTCTTAGAAGGAGCAGAGCCTTCATCAAAATGATCCAAGCCACTGTATCTCTGGGACAACAGACGTGGAAGAGATGTTGCATTATTAGGCAAGGTTTGGTAAGGGAGGATCTGGGCAAAGAACACGTACTTAGGCAATGAAACAGGCCCTTTCAAACCATTCACAAAATGCAAATCACCATGCAACGCCTTTCTCACCCCAATGAGGGCATCTCCTGTCCTACAGGATGGGTTCACGCCAAAGAGAAGATCCTGATCCACCCGTGGGAAGTGGACAGGCTCTGATGGTGGGATGTCTTGCCATCTGGTCCACAGAGGCAGCACGCCATCCAGGGCATAGATCGTGCCATAGCAGCCAGATGCGAGAAACTTGGCGGGAACAGGCTTGTCAGGTTGCAAGGAGGTACGGAACTGAATCTGCGTGCAGTGATTTTCAGGGGTGGGAGTGGGTGATCCACCACTAGGATGCTAGACAAAAGTTGTACAGCAGCTCCCACACTGCACGCCCCAGATCCCTAACCCATTGCTAAGTATGCTAACAGCAATCATCCTGCAAGACTTCACGCCATACCTCATCAGGTTTGCTTCCAGGTGTAACGAGAAGCGATAGGTTTTGACCCAGGTGCGACGCAGCCAGGGTGGGGATCCAGCGCCCCTCACTACTACTGCCCAGACAGCGTCCACCTGCAAAGGATGAGGCCTTCCGTAAGCCTCAACAGCCTCCCAAGATGAGGTGCTACAGTTTAATTGGGAGGTCTTGGCATACCATCTATAAAGAAGTGCGCCACGACGGTGTGTGCCCTCCTATACTCTTCTGAAGGTATCTCTTCTGCATTTGGTTTGGTATGTTGCAGAGTGGGTTTCTTGCAGTGCATGCCTGCCCCGTTTGAACAGCATCGGCAGGCTGCCCTCCCATAAGTTTCCTCCCTTACCAAAGATGGCTAGACTTTGAGCTAAGAAGCTGTCCGCCGGAATAAGGAGTGTGACATTCGTTGTTGGTTGTGCAAGATCCAGGTTCAAGTACAGTTCAGGATACTTGCCGGTGAAGTAGGATATCAAGGAGAGATACCGCAGTGAGTAAAACCTAAAGAAGGTTTCAGTGTCGTTGTTGACGGTCACCTGGTAAGGGACCTGGAACCCAGCGCTCCAAAGACTCCTCCAGCAGAACTTCTGCAAAGAGGGAGGGTCAGGGTACCTATCTCTGGCTGCTGATCCACCATGGAACTACTTGAGTTCAATTGTGCACTATATGTTGTTTGAAGATGCACCGCCCTTCCACTCATATAAGCTATCGCCATCCTCATGGGTGTACATGTACTGTGGAGACGTGTGATCTGAAGCTGAGGTCGACATACCTGGAGGCCTGGAACTCGGGTGGCATTCATGTTTGGAAAGTTGGATGGGGACATAGGCTGCTGAAGGACATAAATGAGTGTTCCACCACATGTGGAATAACTAGCCACCACGCCTGAGGGGACGGTCTTTGCGTTGCCATAGTTATCAATAACTGACACAGAGACCTGCATGAGTGGAAGCCACAAGGTAAATTGGAACGTGTATGGGAGTCGCGGCGGTGGCCCTGGTGGTTTACCCTGGGAGACTGCATGACAAGCACCCTATGTCTATGGAGGGCTTCCTGAACGTTCATTATGGCGAAAGCTGATAGAATATGTTATTGCGCAGCCCAGTCTCATAAAACCTTCTGCACAAGGGCCTATCCTCAATCCTACCACTCTGCTGTTTGTCATCTTGGCTGCCAATTTCCACTCATTGTTGTCAGTGGAATTCCCTAAAACGACCTCAAGCATTGTGTCCGCCACGTAGGAGTCTCCACCAAGGGTTGGAAAAGTCATCCTAGACGAAAACTCTCCAAGCGTCCAGTGAAGAAGGAGGAGGCCGAAGTGTGTAGGGGTCGTCAACTCACCCCTCCAGTACGAATCGAGCAGTCCACACTCGGCTGCTCAGATTTGAAGGACACAGTCTAAGGTTGATCGCCACTCATCTCCTACGCTAGCTGTTGTGCACTGTTACCCTGCTTTACCACAAGGTTACGTCCTTTGTCGGGCAGATGCCCACAGAGCACAGATGCCCTCTTCACCTGCACTGTGGCACTGCAGCGTGAAGTCGTCCAGAGGAATGAAAAGAGAAGAGATGTCGGTGTCTTCTTCTAGTTTTAGGTTCAAGCCAGTTGCTTGAAGCGCGTACTCCCACATGCTGACGGAATGCTGGGTGCCGATATACTGCACGGCCTCCCACGTCGACCCAGGCACACATGCAGCGCTCCTCGCGGGCTCACTCTGCAAAGAAGCACCAGTGTTCTAGGTTTTATTCAAAGACTCAATATCAGAAACAAAGCTCCTTCAACCCACCTGCTGGAGGGATCGACCGAGTATGAGCGGGGAGGCACACATCAGGCACACGATCATCATCTCGGCGGTCGACATGGGGAACCGCATCACGATCCTCGACTTGGCCCGCGGAGCCCCGCCGGACCGCAGGGGCACAGTTGTTGGCCGAAATCTGCCGACGATGCGGTTGCCACTGGTACTTTCCATGGTACGGTAGTGGGTCGGGTATCCTTGGAGATCGGCTCTCCCACGTGGAACTTTCATTGTATACATTCCGGTTCTCGTTAGCTTCCCACATCGAGGATGAGGTCGGCGAATGGTCGCATCACCCATTTCGCGCACGAGATGATGCTTGACTGAATACCTTGGAATATACCTGGTGTGGATTTCCCGTGAATTGTTCTGCAAGCTCCTTCCTGCAGGCCCTTTTCAAGCGATGGTCCAACACACTACAATGCCAAATGCTGTTGTGGTGTAGAAAGGGTCGGTGTGTACAGGAAAGACAATATCAAAGATGGGTTTGAAAGATGACAATACCTATCGTAAATAAGTAGATAAAGCAGTAAACGTCAATAAAGTGAGAAGCAGTGCCCTTCGATAGTAATGAAACGAGAAAGATATGTCATGGCAACCTTCCAGATCTTAGATCTGGCAAAACGTGCTGCAGCGCCACTTGAATGCCACTGCACGGCTGGTTTCTGTAAAGGGACTCTCAGAAAGTCATGGTTCCTGGGAAGGTGCGTGCTCCTTAAGAATGACTTCCACCACCTCCATGGCTGTTGGCCGGTCATCTGGCTCGGGCTCCCAGCAAGCCTCCACTAGGTTTGCAATACCCAGGGGACATTCCTCAGGCGCCCTGCAATGAGGTTGATCAGCACTGAGAGCCCGCTTGTTGGCATAATGATGCAATCCAGAGCTTGGTCCGGCTGGCATGATAGGCAACACTCTGATGTGAGCACTCATGTACTCCCTCACCGAATCTGGCGCATGCTCCCCCGGATGGGCGTGTCGCCTGTGATTATCTGCCAGAAGACCACCCCTGCACAGGCAGGGGAATGAGGATGTGGATGGCATTGATGCTCTTTGCACTGCATCGAAGCAGGTTCTCACAATCCGAGCGAAATTCCAGAGAACTCACCCAGACTGAAGATGTCGGCTTGAGGTGAGCAAGCCAGCCCAAGGATAATCTCGGGAGCACACCAATGGAACGAGCCTCCACCGGCTGTTTGGGAGATTGTGTTGGAGATGGGGCACTCAGATCATCATAGACAGGCTTACAGTCACTCTGGACTTACCCGTCACCGTCACAATATTCAGGACAAATTGCACTGGCATTTGCGCAAGTGATGCGGTACAGGAATATGGAAACCAATGTGGAGACTTTCGCCTGCAACCAATTCTTCAACCACTATACCCAAGGCCCAGGCATGGACAGCATCAGAGCTAGACTCACCTATCATCACCCCAGGGTATGCCTTTGACCCTGGCAGCATCTTGGCCAGGCCCACGTCACTGATCTTGGCCCTCCCCTCGCCGTCCAGCAGCACATTCGAGCTCTTCAGGTCATTGTGCACGATGCTGAGAAGGAATTGCGAGAGTTTGTGAGGTGCTTGCCTGAATGATTGCAGCTCTTGACTTGGCGAATGGCCTTCAGATAACGGTCAGTCGTGAGCAGTCACCACAGACCTACAGGACGATCGCCTCCATGAATCGGATGCACCCTGAGTGGCCCCTCCGCCGCAAGCAGGAGCTCACCGTTTGGATGCCAGGTACACCAGGCCTCGTGCGATGTCCAGGGCTATTCTCCAGCCTCCAGAGTTCCAGGTGACATGCCTCTTCTGGATGAGGGCATACAGGTCGCCGCCGGCCATGCGGTGGGTCAGGAGGTACAGCTCCCCAGCACCAGGGTTCACGGCCATGCCCACAAAGGACACCACATACGCCGACCGGCAGCGCTTCAGGATGCTGGCCTCCTCTGCCAAGCAGCCCTCGGAGGCCAGCTGCAGCGGGGTCCCCGGGTAAGGACCCCGCACACACTTGATGGCCACAGGCTCGCCGTTCATGAGGTGACCAGCAAACACCTGGCGAGCATGGAACAGATTGGGGGTGAAGAAGGAATCAGGCAACGATAGTGGCTGGAAACCTGACACGTCATCCCATCCCATCAGCTGCATAGTGGCTGGGTGGGGCAGGTGCACGTGGTGAGACCTATGCCCCGCTTGTGCAAAGGGAACCATAACCCTCGAGTCCATACTGAACATATGATGTCACCCACCTGCCCGAATCGACCAGCACCCAAAACCAGTCTCTCATTGGTGACAGGGTGGAGCTCAAATGTAAAGTCGCTGGGCTGCATGATCCCATTCTCAAAGTCTGTGTAGCTCAAGACACGCCTGTGGGAATCGGGCAGACTGATGCAAACCTGCTGGCTGGTGTCGCCTGCAGCACCGCAGAGTGGAAGGGTCTGTGAGATGACAATGTTGCCACCGCACCTCTCCTGAACGCCCCAGATGCTCCCCATATCAGATTCCTCGCTGCCATAACTCACACCATTCCCCAGTCACACCTTTGCTTCCGGTGTCAGCAGGAGACATCCCTTCTTTCTCGCTGGGGGGTGGCGTCAGCCAGGGACCCTTGGGCAACCACTGCAAGAGGCGTGCGGACAGGGAAAACCCTTGCAGCGACAGGCAAGCACAAGCCGGAGAACGGCCACTTTGGACCCCATGTGTTCATTAAGAGTCGCTCACCTGTCGAGCCTTCTCACTCCTTCCCGCCAAGACCAGTCCAGCAGCCAAGGCAAGGGCCAGGGCAAGGCTGCCCAGAACGATGCCCACGATGGCGCCAGCACTCAGGCCGCCGCTCCCCGAAGTCGCGCTGCCTTGCTCGAGCTCCTCCAGGGCGCTGAACCTCTGTGCAAGAGCGGGTTGCATCGACGGCACATCGTGTTTTGTGGTCCATTGGCGAGTTCACCGAGGTGCCTCGGCAATGCAGCCATCCCGACTCCCGCATGCCAGACACGCATGCCAGAAACTGTCGACTCCCATGCCTCTCACCCCCACTATGGCATCCCCTGCCCCGCAGGTTGGATTCACGCTGAAAAGGAGGTCCTGATCCACTTGCGGGTAGCGAGCAGGCTCTGCTGGGGGGATGTCCTGCCACCTGTCCCACATGGGCAGCAGATCATCCAGCGCATAGATTGTCCCATAGCAAGAAGTGGTGAGAAACTTGCCGAGGACCACCTTGTCTGGTTGCAGCGACGTGCGGACCTCGATCTGCGGGCAGACAGCATTTGCGTTTAAGAGGTAATCAGAAGTGCTGTGGGATGGAGACCCACCTCTAATGCAAGCGTGCAGAAAGGCAAAACATTGAGAGTCAAACCGACCGCCCTGGCCTGATAGCTTCCTCCCAGCTTTGCAGTCAGAAACCCTACAAGACTCAGGCTACTGTAAACCCCTCCCACAAACTGCCCAGGGGGCCTCATCTCAGGCAATCAGAGCGCACCTTGTTGGGCTCGCTGCCGGGCGTGATGAGGACCGACAGGTTTTGACCCAGGTACGTCGCCGCAAGGGTGGGGATCCAGCGCCCCTTCTCGATACTGTCCGGACATCGACCACCTGCGGGGTTTGGCGGCGGCGAGGTACTCTCCCACCAGCAAGTCTCGGCATGCATTGGGGAGTGAAGGGAGCAGGCGGGCCGCAGACCCACCATCGATGAAGTAGTGTGCGGTGGCCGTGTTTGCCCTCCGGTACTCCTCCGGGGGGATCGCATCTGCATGTGTCAGCGGGAGGACAGGTCCCTGGTGCGTCAGCTTCACGGTGCGCCCCTCTCTCATCCGCGGGCGATGGAGGGGGGGCAGTGCGGCGCTGAGCCTCCTCACTCACCAAAGTACGCGTGGAGCCGGGACAGGACATGCGCATCTGGGATCAGGAAGGTGACGTTGGTCATGGGATGGGCGAGGTCTAGGTTCACGTACAGCTCAGGGTACTTGCTCATGAAGAAGGACATGTAGGAGAAGTATTTGAAGTAGGGCCCATTTGGGTTGTTGGCAGAAACTTTGCCAGGCACCCTGAACCCAGCACTCCAGATGTTCTTCCAACAGTAGTCCTGCCAGGGAGCAAGGAGGAGGAAGGGGGGGAAGGCAATGTGAGTGATGGCTTGGATCGTGTACGATGAGGCTGCTGAAGAGGTTTTGTATGAACACAGGGGCCCAAGTACCACCCCACCCCACCCTTCCCTTCCTAAATCCCCCTCCCGACATGCTTGTCCTACCGGGTATGTGCCCCCACCCTGGGCACTTCATCTGTACTCCAGACAACAACACACCTGGAGCCCCGGAACACTGGTGGCATTGACATTGGGGAAATCCGGAGGAGTGATGGGCTGCTCAATGACATAGATGCGGGTCCCGCCACAGGTGATGTAGCTGGCCACCACGCCTGATGGAAGGCTCACTGCGTTGCCCTGGACGTCGATCACCGAGACCGTCGCCTGCAGAAGCATTGTCAGACAGGAATGTCACGCTCACATGGCAAATCTTAGCGGCCGCTATTGAGACAATGAGTGACTGCCAGTACTAAGAGATAAACCCAAGATGCAACACTGATTTCAAGCCCAGTGTTTGGCCAGACTCCCTGTTTTAGCTGTGCAACCGTGCATTCTGATGCCCTTTGGAGCACACGGAGCTCAACAGCTTGAACCCCTGCTCACCACTTTGTTGTCCACCATCCGGGCTGCTAGCTTCCAGTTGTTGTTGGTGGAGCTGTTCCCCAGCACGGCAGCAAGCAGCGTGTCCGCCACATACGAGCCGTTGTAAGGCACGACGACTTTCTTCTCGGCCGCAAAGTCTCCCACGGTCCAGTGTAGAAGGAGGAGGCCAAAGTAGGTGGCTGATGTCAGCTGGCCCCTCCAGTATGTATCCACTTGCCCGCATTCATCTGAATAAGGAGGCCATGATACGGTGCAATCGGTACGGAGCCCTCGTAGACTGCTTCATTCTGGTACTTTTCCCATTCCCCAACAGCCCTGTAAGCATGTCCCGACCAAAACCCTACCCCCTCACCCGCGCTTTGGCACGCCAGCATGGAGTCGTCCAGGGGAATGAGAATCGTCGACGGCGCGGTATTCTCTTTCATCTTTATGTTTAGCCCGGTCGCGTGAAGGGCGTATTCCCACATGGTGATGGAGTGCCGGGTGCCAACATACCGGACGGCGTCCCATGTCGACCCAGGCACACATGCCGCACTACGCGCGGCCTCCGCCTGCGTTAAAGCACGCGACGACTTCTCAGAGAAAGTACTGATGGGTGTGTACACATGCTATGGCCGTTTCACCTACCTGACTTAAAGATCGAGCATGAGTAAGCTGGGAGATGCATATCAAGCCCACCACCATGCACGGGAGCGCCGAGAAACGCATCAACGTGATCACTCCAACGCACGGCTTCCTGCCGGAAGGCCAGAACGACATTCAGTAAAGCTATTCAGCGGTGTGGAGTCTTCCGCTCCATGGTACGGGAGGAAGATGAAACTGCGGGAACCCAAGCTCCCGGAAGATCACGTGCACAGGATCGGCTCCATTCTCCAAAAACCTCGGGCCGGCGTGTTAACCACAGTCAAGGATACATTCCACACTCTTGCATTGCTGCGTGCACCCTCACTTATTGAGTCCCGGATTATCTACGTATTTTGAAATACTCGGAACCGGCGGGGGAACCTGTGTCGCTCAAGCTTGTCAAAGAGCATTACATATAAGTGCGTCACTTCAAGCGAATGCAATGCCTTCATCAGCAGGCGCAATCGTCAAGGGTTTACAAGTTGGGGGCAAGAATGTTGAGGCAATGACCCTCGATGCCTACCCCACCCTTTGAGCAGCAAATTCGTGAAGAAGTTCCAGGAATTAACCCCCTGGGGATGTCCGCACACTGCATCCAAGGTCATCCTGTTCCACAGAGGGCTGATGCTCCTTCAAGATGACGTCCACCACTCGCATGGCTGTCGGGCGATCCTCAGGGTTGCGTTCCCAGCACGACTCCACCAGTTCCACGATGCTTTGGGGACAATCCTCTGGCGCCCTGCACACCCGTGGATTGGTAGCAAGGCCAGGATGGGGTAAGGTGCGGTGGTGAAGGATACCTCAGTCCGGCAAGCCAGTCTGGAACGATGCACATGGCCTCATCATGCACCGACTTGCCTGATGGAGCGCATGTTCCCACGGACTGGGACCTCCCCCGTGATGATCTGCCACATCACAACTCCTGCGGGCGTGTCGTGCCATGAGGATATGCTGCTAATGCTGTCGAAGAGGCGATACTGCGTTTACTCTCGAGTTTGCGATGCCGAGGAAAATTCCAGTCTGTATCAGGCTCTGCACGATACCCACATCCCCCAGTCCCCTCCCCTCCTGCTGCTCACCCATACTGAAGATGTCGGACTGAACCGAACAGGGCAGGCCCAGGATTGCTTCAGGGGCACACCAGTGAAAGGAGCCGCCCCCAGCTGCATAGTCAGCGAGGGTGGTGGTGGTGAGCATGGGCGGGATATTGATGGTGGTACAAATGGCAGCAGCATCTGCAACTCTGGCAGAGGGGCCTGGCACAGGAGCGGAGGTCGAATCCCCCCTGCCTGATGAAATGGTCACCAACTCCCTCCCAACAACCCGAGCATTAATTCAATGACCCCCTCCCTTCCCCCGCATGACCACGTCTGGGCTCACCAGCAGCGGCACCAGGATGTAAACACGTTCCCGGCAGCATCTGTGCAAGGCCAACATCGCTGATCTTGGCCCTCCCTTCATCGTCCAGCAGAATGTTGGAGCTCTTCAGGTCGTTGTGCACGATCCTGACAAGGATGGCGTTTTGGTGACTCAGCAGGCGCGTCACCATGCAAGGCGAGGACGACACACCCAGCTTCCAACGAGCCCCAACCCTGGAGTTCCCCTCGGACTGACCCATGCCCGGCCCTGCCGGGGGGGCCTCGACCCAACCCACCTCTTGGAGGCGAGGTACACGAGCCCACGGGCGACGTCCAGGGCGAGCTTCCACCCCCGGCTCCTCCAGGGAATGCGCCTCCCGCTCAGCAGCCGCATCAGGTCCCCCCCCGCCATCCGCTCGGTGATGAGCTGCACCTCCTGCGCGCCGGGGTCAATCGCGATGCCCATGAACTTGACCACGTAGGCGGAGCGGCAATGACGCAGGATCTGCACCTCCCGCGCCAGCAGGGACCCAGGCTCCAGGGCCAGGCTGGGCCCGGACGGGGGGGCCTCAATACACTTGATGGCGATGGGCTCTCTGTTCTGGAGGCGCCCCGCCACCACCTGCACAGGTGGAAGCAAGGGAGTCTGTCAATGCTGGTGTGTTCTCAGCAGGGAAGCAGGCAGGGGCCGCTGACAGCGAGCGCTGAGGAAGGAAGGCCCGACCTGGGTCTGAGCGGAACCGTCCTACCTGCCCAAACCTTCCCGCCCCCAGGACTATGCGCTGCTTCGTCTCGGGGTCCAGGTCGAATGTGAAGCTGGAGGCGTGGAGGATGCCGTTGACAAGGTCAGCATCCGGGTCCACCTGCATGGGAACCCTATTGCCGCAGGATCCAAGGGCTGACCTGCCTGTGGGAGGGGAGGGGCTGCCTCCGTGAGCGACGGCGCAGCTCCAGACGTGACTCCGCACCAGGCAGCGCCCCCTCATCCTGTCCAGAGCTTTCTGACCCTGTGCTCGCTCCACACCACAGCCCACCTTCACGATGGGTTGCCAGGTCGCTCAGGGCTGACGCCGGCTGGGACTCGTCATGTTCCCGCTCCTCGACTCCCTGCGAGGAATGATGTTGGTAGATAGGAAGGGGGGTCCCATAGACTCTGTGCACCCCTGCAAGCCACATCGGGAGCACCCCTTCACGCCCCTGCTTGCCTTGGAGCGCCTTCTGTTCAGCTTGAGCAGCATCACGGCGACGGCGGCCAGCACAGCAAAGGCCACGCAGCCCAGCACGATGGCGGCAATGGCTGGGCCGCTGAGACCCCCTGCGCCCTCTCGAGCCGGCGGGACGGTTGCAGGCTGGTCTTGGAGATGCTGCATGGAGTCAAGGAGGCTGAGCGTGGCCCGTTGATGGGAAGGAGAACCAAGCATGCTTCACATGCAGCTCCTGTACAGCACTGGCAGGGCCACCGCCTCCCTGTCTTGCTCGTCAGCATCCTTGTGCTAGCTAGCTCAATACCTGAACCAGAGTCTGCCCAGCCCTGCACTCCGGGTCGACACCAAAGAGCACCTCAGTGCCGACTTGAGGGTAGTGGGTGATGGTGGAAGGGGGGATGTCCTGCCACCTCTCCCAGAGGGGGAGCAGGGTGTCGATCAAGAAGAGCGTGCTGAAACATGCATTTGCCAGGTAGCTGGCTCTCAGGGTCCTGTTGGGCTGCAGGGAAGTCCTCACGTTGACCTGTGCAGCAGTGGCAAGATGGGCCGAGGGTTTACCTCGGGTGCAATGGAGACAAGACACGGCTGAGGAGGCACAGGCACAGGGACGACTCATTGTTCTGGCAACCGGGGGGAGGTGTCCTGTGCAGCATGTGACACACCAGCCCCGACTTACCCATGCCTTCTCCTCCCCGGCCATGAATTGAAGGGAGAGGTTTTGGCCCAGATATATTCCCGCCAGGGTGTTGTACCACTCTCCCGGGCGAAACCCGTCCAGGCAGTGTCCGCCTGCATGGGGAGGTGAGTGCCTGAGCATGCAGCTGGTGTGGGTGGCTCAAGCACCCCTCGCATCTGCACCTGGTATGACGTAGTGACTCAAGTATGTGAATGCCCGGCCGTCTTCGCCGACAGGAATTCGACCTGCACATTGCAGAGGAGGGCAGTCTCTCGCAGCCAACTCTTGAAGTGCCCAGCAGGCCATGATGGTGATCTGGTGAAGGAGCGACAGTTCCGCTGGCATGTCTTGCCGGGGTCCTGCCCCTCAAAGCATGAACTCACTTAAGAATTGGGTCATCCCTGTGATGGTATTGGCGTCTGGCGTAAAGATGCTGATGTTTGTCGTTGGCTGTGCAAAGTCGATGTTGGTGAAGAGTCGAGGAAAACGTCCCGTGATCAGGCCCTGAATGGCAAAGTAGGCGTAGTAGGGCCCGGAGGGGCTTGACGCCGTCAGTAACGAGTTCTGGAAACCTGCTGACCAGATGCTCTGGGTGCAGTAGCCCTGCGGTCGGGGACATGGGGGTGTGGCATTTCCCATGAGGCGGGTATGGGCCCAGGAGGGTTGTATCACATCGTCGGCGACCACCGGCCGTGGGCTGCACATCAACTCGAGCATGTACCTTGCCGGTCGAGGTCCTCCGACCTACCTGAAGCTCAGGCAGAGCGGTGGTATCTACCAGTGGGAAATCTGTTGGGACAATGGGCCTGTCGATCACGTGGACCGCATTGCCGCTGCATGAGACGTAACTGGCGGTCGCCTTTGCAAACACCTGCTCCAGCTGCCCACTGGGGCTCATCACATAGATCATGATCTGTGCCTGCAGCAGGGATGAGGCGGTGGGGACGGGGAGCTTCCATGGATGTGCAGTATCAGCCCCGCAAGCCTGGCTGGCAGGCGAAGCTTTCAGCGTTATCACACGCCTGTGTGCCCCCTTCACGGAGAGTGATGAGCGCAGCGGCATTGCACCCAGGAATACTCGGCGAGGTCAGCTCCCACCTGGAGCCGATCTCGGTAGATGTGTCGGACCAGGAGATACCACTGGCCCAACTCGGATGCATTATGCAATTCAGACAGCATGGTCTTGCCCCTGTAGTCCCCTGGCAGGCCTCCGCTTGTCGTCGTACCAAATCCTGAGATGGCCCAGTGCAGGAGCAGCAGGCCTTCAGATGTGGGCCGCGTGAGCTGGCCTCGCCAATAGGTATCAGCAACGCCGCAATCCACTGCACACAGGGGGTGGCGAAGGGAGATGGGTGGACGATTGGTCGACATACCTCAGGGGTGCGAGGTGGCGCGCTGGGTACGATGTCAGGCCACACCTGCGTCATCGCATGTCAGCATGGATGCGTCTTCGGGAATGAAGAGCGTCGACGGCCCCTGCCTCGCTTTCAGCACTCGATCTAGGCCAGTGGAGTTCAGAGCGAATCGCCACAAGGATATGTTGTGGCGTTCCCCGGCCATCTGGAGGAGATCCCAAGTAGAGGCCTGCAGGCAGGCGCCTGTGTCCGGCACCCGCTGTGGTGGCACACACAGGATGGGTGAGCCTCACGTCTTTCAGCTTTCCCCAGTAATATGACTTCATGCATGAGCGCAGTCTACATACCTGCTGGAGGTAACGCGCGAAGGCGCATGGCACCAGAGTGTACACGGTCACGATTGAAATCAAGAGGCTGCGCCGAGGACGCCGTCGCATGTCCCACAGAAGCCCGGTTTAAGTCGCCGAGGGTCTTCAGAAGCCCACAAGAGAATCTTGTTCAACTTTCAACATTAGAAATCCACCTTTCCAGAGTAATCCGAGGGTGCCGCACCAATGTTAGTCGGCCCGTCGATTGGCAGCTGCATGAAGTCGCCCGGACGAGTGCGAGTGGGTGCATGAGGCGTTCGTCATGAACATTCCGGTGACCGCCGTCGTGAGTCATGCTTCTGGCTGCATGTCGACATACAGACTATTCGCAAAAGGTTTTTCTTGTGCTCAAAAGATGGATCTCACCAACATTTGGAGGACTGCCTCTCCTGTCTTTGCCTCAGTTGAGACTTGACAGTAATTGCTCATTAAATGTCAGACTGGCTGGAGCTCAGGTGTCAAGAGCCGGTCCCGCTCTAAAATTCACAGAAGCAGTCTCTCAGAGCTCCGCCGACGGAGACTGTGACACCTGAGAATGGCGGTGTCCCTTTCCTCAGCGGAGAAAACACCTGGCAAGCGATGCCTTTAGAGATCCGTGAGTGGCACGGCAACCCGCCTGGCTCTCTCACATCCGCTTCCTACTCCACACCCCACATTTCCCCCCTTTCTCAGGCCGCTGCGGTGGCAGGCGCCCCCGCTTCCTTGTCCCGCCGCCTCGCCAGCGCGGTGCCCGCCCGGCTGCCGCTGGCCCTGCCCAGGGCGCCGCACACAAAGTCGGCGGCGCCGAGCAGCGCGGGCAGGTCCACGCCGTGCGCCACGCCCATCCCCTCCAGCATGTACACCACATCCTCGGTGGCTACGTTCCCCGTGGCGCCCCGCGCGTAGGGGCAGCCCCCCAGCCCCGCCACCGAGGCGTCCAGGGTGGCCACGCCCAGCTGCAGCGCTGCCAGGATGTTGGCCAGACCCTGGCCGTAGGTGTCGTGCATGTGCGCGGCCAGGCGGGAGACGGGCACCACCTTGGTGCATGCCTGGACAGCGGGGGAGGAAAGGGGAGGAGGAGGGGGGGCGGTTGAGCTTGAGGGAGGAACTCAGAGGTGAGCGCTTGGGTGGGAGCATGCGAGGCGAGCGAGACTCCCCATGACGGTGGCGATGAAAGGGGGAATCGGAGCTGTCCGCAGAACCCACCCTGGCCTGACGCCCCAGGCACCGCGCCCCACCTCAAACATGGCGGCCACGGAGGCTGGCGTGCCCACGCCCGTGGTGTCGCCCATGGACACCTGGTAGCAGCCCATTTGATCCAGGGCCTGGGCGACGCGCGCGGCCTCCTGGGGAGGCACATGCCCCTGGGAGGAGGGGGCAGGTCGAGGGGGTGGGTGCAGGGTTGTAAAAGATGGGGGGTGGTGTCGAGCAGCAAGGCGGGCATCTTTTCGACTACCGGTCGGCTGCAACAGGGGGCAGGCCCGCCCGGCATCAGGAGCTGCAGGGAGGGGAGGCCTGCGCTGGGCCCTCGCCGCACAACTACCGCGCCACACGCTGGCACTACCAGACGGGCGGACTGCGGAAACCCCTACAAACCGAAACCTGCCCCTCTGAGTCACCTGGTAGGGACAGCCGACCACGCAGGAGACGTAGCCTCGCACCGTGACGCCCTCCGCCTGGGCGGCGGCCGCGACGTCGGCCAGGCGCCGCAGGCTGTCGTCGATGCCCACGTTGGTGTTGGCGCGGTTGAAAGCCTCCGAGGCCGCCGTGAAGATGGCAACCTCCCGGGAGCCCGCCGCCAGCGCATTCTCCAGACCCTGCGGGGTGTAGAATGGATAGAATGTGGGGCAGGGGGTGAGGGTGGGCGCAGGGATCCTGTGCGTGCTGCAAGCGGGAGGACCACCGTTTTTCGCCCTTTGATCCCTAGAGAACGCAGCAGGCCGGAGACTGGCAGTCTCCCGCCCAAGCGCTGCAGGCTGGAGGTTGGCGGCAGGACACCTGCAATAGCAAGCCCGGCTTACACAACAACCGCGCACCTTCATGTTGGGGGTTAGCACTGGGTACCTGACCCCGGGGCGGGGCAGGACCTGTGCTAGCACCTGGGCCGCGTCCGCCAGCTGGGGCACCCATTTGGGGGACACGAAGGACGTCGCCTCCACCACGGGCAGGCCAGCAGCGGCCAGCCGCTCTATGAGTTCCACCTTTGTTGCCGTGGGGATGGGGGTGGCCTCGTTCTGCAGGCCATCGCGCGGCCCTACCTGCAGGGTTTTGGGGCGCCAATGAATGGGATGCAAGGTGGAGGATGTCCTTCCACGCCATAGCGACCAAGACCCGCAAAGAGGGATGCCCACACCTCTACAATCGTCACGGAAGCGGGGAGGGGCCGGCCGAGGAATACCTGTGGCGCCGGAGGAGCGACCATGGATCGTCATACGCATCGCACGAGCATCTCATCTGTTAATTAATTTATACAGTCCCTCACTCACTGGGCCCGCGGCCGGAGTCGAGAACAGCCTGGCAAGGCTTCGCCTCATCTCCACACGACCGGTGTGGATGTCAGGGCACCTTCTCCCACGCCCTTTTAGGGAAAAATAATCCGTTAAAGGTGTTGAAAAAAATGCCGGTAACCTAGCTGTGCCAATGAGCCTCGATGAAAGAGAATGTGCCTGATCACGGAACCGCGCTCCGAGAGCGCGGCCCCGGATGTGTCGGAGGCCCAGTCACGATTCTCTGACAACAAATTGTGTGCAATTACAGTCACGCCACGTCTTGTCCAGAGCTAGCCCTCTGGTCCGGCCGCAGCTGGAGGCTGTTGCACCGCTGCAGCAGGGATGACCTGGTTGGCAGGGAACAGGGCACGCAGGATCCCTGGCGTGCGAAGTGGCCGCCGTCCGCCGGACATCCGAGGGTACACGTCCTCCAGGAAGTAGTAGGCGTGCCCTGCACCAGCGTGGACAAGAGGTCTTGGAGCACGGGTGTGTAGGAGGAGAGGACCATGCCACAGGGCGCATAGCGCAACGAACATGGCAGGGGTCACCTTGGTTTTCAAGGGAACCACCTCGACACAGCCGTGCCCCTCCCCTCCCCCTTTCCTGCCCTCTTTCCCCACCTGCCATCATGCCCAGCAGGTCCACCAGCGGCGAGTTGCCCAGCATCACGGAGAATGCCAGCAGCACCCAGGGCAGGTAGGGCGCCGTGAAGTTGAACAGGCCCATCATGCTCAGCTGGACGTACTGGTGGCGCCGGCCCCAAACATACACCATCATGAAGGTGAGGCTGGAGCCCAAGAACTGGAGGTTGACCAAGGGGGCCACTGTGACCAGGACGCCGGCGCCGAAGAGCAGCATCCAGAGGAAGTCGGCAGAGCGCCGGCGGAACGAGTCCTCCTCCAGGGACTTGCTGTACTTGGTCAGGAAGAACATGTGGAAGAAGAAATCCAAGCCTGCAGAAGAAAAGGGGGGTTGAATGGTGAAGACTCAACAGTGGTGGGCAGCCAGACAGTGAAACAGGCCATGGGACAAGGGGGCGCAGCATGCGGTAGGGCACCGCCTCATGCATAGAGAAGCGCCTGGCGACCGAGACAACTTCCGCACGAGAAATGAATACTGGTAGGGCCTCGGGACTCTGCACCCACCATCCACCGTCCGCCACAAACACCCGAAGCACATGCACTACGAAGATTACCCTGCATAACACCACCGACCCTGCACGCACTCAGATTGCCGTAGTAGAAAAAGTTGGTGACCAGCCTCCAGTACTCATGATTCTGGTATATGAGCCGTGTGTTGTAGTATATGTTGAAGGGGGTGATGACCTGTGGAAGGAAGGCTTGGGGTCGATGAGGCTGCCTGAGGAGGAAGGGCCCAACCCTGGCCTGAGGCAGCACGGCACAGAGGCGAGTGCAAACATGCCAGAATCACCTCGAGGGCACATGCCGCTGTGGTCGCAACACAGAGGGAGACGTAGCCCCTTGTGATGACAGGGAGTTCTTTGTACCACTCCGCCGCGTCCATTGCAGAGCGACCTCGTGGATGGTCCTCCGGGGCTCAGTCCAAGCGGCGAGGTGCAATATTTTCACGGAACCTCTTAGTTGTCTTGATGGTGTAACGGTGCGAATAGGGGGATCCTGATATGGGCAAGGCACAATGACCCGGACCCCGCCGAGACCTGCTTGATTTGAAGGCAAGCAAGGACGGGAAATCTTAAAATAAATCGCAATCTCGTCGACAACTTAACTTTATCAGTACACAAGAGGAAGCTCGGTCTGGGCACGCTGTACCCCCCGAGCGGGCGACATGAGTGCGTGTCGGCAATGGAAGGAAGTGTCCCGGAAGGGGGAGATGAACTCAACAGAGCAAAAAATGGGAGGTGGCCACAATGTGTTCACAACAGGGTCTTCAGGTGCCCGATGGCCATGGCACTGGACAGGACGGTCAGAACGCCTGCAGGAAACACCTTCCTCGAGTCCTTGTAGCGCTTTCCCATGAGGGCGCCGAGCGCCAGGCATGTTCCTGCGGGCATGCGGGGCGCGACGGAGCGTCATCAGCTGGACCCGCTCGGCCTTGCCGGTTGGTCCTGCATGCACCCATCATAGGGAGGCGTGCCAATATCCCTCTCCTCACCGAGAGCCAAAAGACTGCCGATGCGCTGGTCGGGCCGCCCCATGAGTGAAGCTGACACGAAGAGGAGGAGCGACACAGCGGTGGATGCCACGAGGGAGGTGGTGCTCCCCTTCTTGATGTAGCCCATGAGTCCGCCACCTGCACGGCCAAGAGCGCGTCATCACTGGAGCTGTGCTGGGCCCCGCCGGGGGCAGGGGCTGGGCCTGGAACACAGGCATGCATGGCGTTTCTCCGGCGACAAGTGCAGCATGCGTGTGACACCAGGCCACTCACCCAGGACAAAGGCGCCAAAAACGCAAGTCAGCGTGGTCATGGGGCGGGGCCCGTTCCCCTCGGGCTCTGGAAGGCCACCCCCGCCACCGCCACCTGGCACCCCGCCAATGCCCCCCGATCCTGGACCGCCTGCCCCTCCTGTGAGGGATTCATGGCGTAGGCTGGACTTCATGCGTGAGTGTGGGGGCTGCAGGGCCTCTGATGCAGCCCTCAGCCCTGAACAGCCCTGGGCGGCCCCAATCAGGCCAGAGCGATGTCGTGCTTGCAAGTGCACATGGGGTAGCCTGTCCAGCACCTGTGCAAGCCCACCTTCGAGTGCCGATATTCTTGTTGCGCTGCGTAGCACCCTCATCTCGCGCAGAGGTCCCGGCTCCGCACGGCCCGTCCTCCTGCGAGGGCTGTCGCATGGGGTCAGGCCAGGGGTCACACGGAACCCCCTCTTCCCTCCCATTCCACGTTGACTGACTCACCCAAACCCTCGGCTTGCCCCCAAGGAAAAGCATCGACTCAAGCTGTACGCATTTGGTGCCCTCTGATGTTTTGTGAGGCTCCTCGGTGACGGACTGCTTAATCGTGCTTGCAGCATTTCCCAAGTTTTAGCTTACGAGCCCGCCAAGCAGCAGCGAATCACTTAAGAGATGGCTAGCAGTCTATAAGGTTGATGGATTAGAGGATATGGCCATCTGGGTGGTCGTAAAGTGAGCCCGTGAGTCTGCTGCATGCGGGTGTGGGGTTTTGCCCTACACCCACTTACCGATTTTGTGCGCCCTGTTTAAGATTGCTTTCGGGGGCCTGACCCAGTGTTCATGCAAATTCCACAACGACAATGAAAGAGGTGGTCTGCAGGGCCCTGCACAATCTCGAAGTCTCAGATAGATGCACATCGAGTATCGCTGGCCACTAATCCTCTGTATATAATTGCACAGAGTACCATGGCTGTGGGCTGCTGAGTGAGAGGAGGGTTTGCCATCTGACCTCTCACTCCAGCGCCATCACGGCGCAGGAGGTGGTTGCCTAGAGTTTAAGTATTTAAGTCAATTCCGTCTCTACGCCAGAATTTAGACGAACGCTTTGGTAATCGGCGCCCACGACACAGGTCCTTGGTGCTACCAGAACACTCTGCAGACTAGGCCTTCAGGAATTCAGAGGCCGACAAAGGGCTCCATCATGCATCACAACCACGGGGTAGCGTGGAGGGAGCGATAGTCCCCATCATGGAGGCCCTTCCAGCGGCAGCAGGGACGATGCTGCCCGGAGGGAATGGCGAGGCGGAAGCGCCACTTGACAAGAATCCGGGACTCAGGCACTATGATCCGCACAGAGACGTCATCCTGCGCGTGGAATGGATCACAGATAAGGCCATGCAGGTGGGATCCGCCATTCAGCCGTGTAGACGAGCTATATTCCCCCCTATTCAGCTTACCTGGAGTCATCTAACCCCACTGGCCCGCTTCCCCCCAGAACCTGACGGTCACTGTGCAGATCCTCGTCTTCACGGGCGCTGTCCTGCTGGCTGCAGTCGTTGCCCTCAAAGAAGTCAAGGTGCGGAGTGCTGGTAATATACATGTGTGCTTCATGTGTACTCATTCAAGAACACATGTACTGCAGGACATGCTTGCTGCCAAACATTGTTGACATGCCTGTGTGTGGACAGATCACCTGCAGTGCGCCCATCCATCCATATCAGGACCCCTGCGCTCATGCGTCACTGCAGGGGAATGACTTGGTCTTCATGCCCACCATCCCTACCATGAACCTGGTGTTTGGGACTGGGTGCATGCTGGAGCTGCTGTTCACTTGCGCGATATTCTACGCGCGAGTGGTGATCGCCAATCGCTCCGGGAAGCGCTGGTGGGTGCAGATTGGCGAGGGTGGGAGGGTGTGGTGCCGTTCCTTGGGCTGGACTCTGTGTTGCGTGCAGGTTCCCTGCAAGCTTGCTCTCTTTGTGAGCCACCTTGAAGGGTTCTGAACCGATGCAGCCCGCCACACTTGCATGCAGGGACCCCAAACGGCGGCGAGCGGTGGTCCTCACTGAGATTGAGCTGGGGACGCAGACCCTCAACATGGCCGCCTTCCTGACGACAAATGCGATCCAGCTGGCAGACAGGTGTACATTCTTCCCTCGCTCCATCGTCTGGCTTGGACTGGTCCAGTGAGCCGCGAAGAGGGGTGGGAGGGTGCTGGGAGGTCAGGTGGGCCTGCTGGACCAGGTCTGCGCTCAAGGCTGCAGCAGGAGTTGTCTGGGTGTGTTTCTGCACGCCTTGGGGAGTGGGGTGGACGGGCGTCTGGGCTGCAGGATGCTTCCTGGACGGGGCCGGAGGAGGAGTTCGATGCGCATAGCGTGTTGCATTCCCAATCTCTCAGCCTGTCCGCTTCCCCCCCCTCCACTTCGGCTGCAGGTGGCTGTGCTGGAACACCCTGTGTCTCATCTCCTGGGTCCACGCCGACCGGTTCAGACCGGTCCCGAACGAGAAAGGTGGCGCGCGGCCTGGGTTCAGAGCCGGCGCCGGGCAGCCACCATGGGTTACCCCAGTCCCGCTGCTTCCAAAGTCTTCAGCGCCATCACCCCACCCTGCCCGTCCCACCGCACCCCCTGCAGATTCGACCCTGGCACGGCCCGGCGCGAACGAGGTGCCCCTTGCGACAGATCTGCCCCTCACCTCCCACTGGCGCAAGCTGGCCCTGTGGCTGGCTTTCCTGGGGACCACCGTGGCAACCAACGTGAAGCTGGCCGACGGACCCGCCGACCGGGCGTCGGGGCTCTCCCAGTGTGACGCCAGCTTGCTGGACTGCCATCAGACAGGTGCATCCGCTGTCCCGACCCTGGGGCACTGTGCATGGATGCCGCATCCCCGTGGGATGCTGCGGCGCCTGAGCCTGCCCTGCAGTGGCGTCCGTACGGAGCTTGCACAGCGACGCCTGATCCTCGCACGTTGGGTCTCACCCATTCCCCCTTCCCCCCTGCATCACACCGCGCAGCCGGCCTGCTCGTCGGCCAGGCCATCAGCATCGTCCTCATCATCCTCTACCTGCTGCTCTACCTGTATGCCACCCGCCGCAGCCTCCAGCAGCTCTCCCGCTTCTCCTACAACCGCTTCCGCGTCGGCAACCGCCTGATCAGGATCCAGGTGAGCAGGGCCGAGCGGGCCTCGGATCTGGGCCGTGAGGTTGAGGGTCCCGTGCCGCAGCATCCCGTGACCTGCAAACCGCCCAGATGCATGTGTGATGCCATACCTTTGATCAATTGCTGCTGGGCACTCACCCCTGCGAAAACAATGCTTATGGAATCCGCATCCCCATGGCCTCATGGCCCTCCCCTCCCCTCCCCTCAAGCAGATCCGGCTGCGTGTCCTGGCAGTGTGCGTCTTCCTGCTCTGCTGCATCTTGTACGCGTGAGTGGAAGCCAGGGGAATAATGCAGGGACTCTTGTTTTCCTGGCGACTGTCTGCCCTGTGCTTTGGAGGCTGCCAGGGCCTGGCGCCTGCAGCAGCTGCTTTGATGGGTCCCAACCCTCCCCCTTTCAGCTTCTGATCCAGCCGGTGTCCCTTTGGCCCCTGACACCCCTGGATGCCTCACGCCACACACACAACCCCTCCCCGGCCGGCGCAGGCTGCTGCAGTTCAGCTCGTGTGTGTCGTACTGGGTCTCCTGGCTCGGATTCCTGCCAATGCAGGTCAGCGGACCCCGCTGCAGTCTTTGCCTGCCTCTCATCCTTCTCCTCAAGCCTGTAACAGATGAGGGCATGACCAACGCTGCGTGTGGCCTGGACACCCACGCCATCCCCTCACGCCCTACAGGTCATCACCACAGCGATCGTCGCAGGGCAGTGCTTCCTGGACTCGCCCAAGCAGCCATCCGACAAGGAGACCCTGCTGGTGTGTGCCTGGTGGAATGCGTGGCAGCACAGGGAATGGGATGTTTGAGGTTCTGCGTGGCGCCTTGGCCTGAGTTTCCCTTCTCCGCCTGCCTGCCACCTCAGTGACTCCTCAGTCCATCCTGCGGCCTGGTTGCGCAACACCCACAGGCCTTCCTGCAAGAATTTGCCTGGACCGAGGCCAGCCAGCCGGCAAAGAGGTCCGCACGATCTGCATCCCTCAAGAGAACCACAGGCCAGGCAGAGGGAATCGACAAGGAGCCGATGTGGTGCTTCGAGGTGAGGGGTGGCGGGACACTCCTCGTGACTGGAGCACCCGACGTCATCATCCTTTACAAGTATACACCTGTTACCATGTGTGGATGGCGATCATGCATCATATGAATACAGGGCACACATCCACCAAGTCCTCACACCAGCATGCCTACGTACTGCAGACTGCTGTGAAGCTCATGCACTGGTGTTCGCTGTGTTATGGTGAGGCTTGGCACAGGGACGGCAGGAGACTGCACAGTGCTGAGGCGCCTTCCTGGCTTCCTCCTCACAACCCACACCCCACACACACCCCATGGCAGCCTTTGACAAGGCCGACACGTCGGTTGCCTTGAAAACCGCCATGGAGCTGTACCACTTGGAGGAGTACGAAATGATATGGGAAGAGAGAGTGGTGAGCTCATGGGTTGGGGGCGTGATGGCGAGGCGCTGTATGCGTGTCTCCCCCCCTCCACTTGTTGCACTCCAGCACTGGGTCTTTGGAGTCACCAGGGAGTTCCCAGCCCTGGCCTGGGGTCATTTAGACCACCAATGAATCACCTCCCTCCGGCTCCCAGGACACCTTGTGCCTGCTGGCGGCGGGCCCGGGCACCGTGGTGATCGCCTTCCGCGGCACCGCCAGCATGGCTGGCCTCCTCGCCGACATGAAGGTAGGTACCGGGAGGGATCTGCGGAGTGGCAGACTCGCCATGCATGGGGCCTGCTGCTGGGGCGATGCGTCAGCGCTGCTACCTCCACCCTCGCCTTGAGTCTGACTCTGTGGCTCTATGTGGCCCGATGCCCGCCGACCGAAGTCCGGTGGTGGCCCTGAGCACCGACCTCGACGCGCCCTGTCCTCAGCCAGACATCCCCCCTCCTGCACACCACTTCCGCCTCCCGATGCAGCGCAACCTTCCCCTCTCCTCCTCTTTCTCCTTGCATATCTGGCGCACTCCCTGGCCCCCAGCAGCCGGCACCTGGCGCTCCCGGCCCAAGGTGCACACCGGCTTCCTGCACTGCTACAGGTCTGGCGAGCTGGACGTGCGGCTGGCGCGCGGGGTGCGCCGAGCAGTGCAGCGCGCCGCCCGCGCCGGCGCGGGCCCCGTGCGCGTGCTGGTCACGGGGCACTCGCTGGGGGGCGCGCTGGGCATGCTGTGCGCGTACGACGTGGCGCGCGCGCACCCTGGCCTGGACGTCAGCTGCTACACCTTTGGCACGCCGCGCGTCGGCAACCGCGCCTTTGCCGACCTGTACGGCGGGCTGGTGCCTGACACCTGGCATGTCGTCAACGGCGATGTGCGTGTGCATGGGGGATGGGGGGGTGGTAGAGGTGTGCGCGCCTGACGGCTGGTAGGAAGGGGTTGACGTGGAGTGACAGACTGTGTCCGGAGCCGGCACAGGACCCTGGCCAAGCGGGAATGCCATGCTGCCCAGACGTCACCCTCCCCCGACCAACATTCGCCCGTAGGACACCATCACGCGCTCCGGCAAGTTCTTCTTCCTTTACAAGCGCGTGGGCCACCGCGTGCTCATCAACGGCAGCGGGGACCTCATCGTGCGCCCTGACTACATCGAGAAGTATGTGCACCGCATGCCGGGAGGTGAGCATGTGTGTGTGTGTGGTGTGGGGGGGGG